GACTGTCTATCGAATTTGAGAAGCCCAGTCAAATCATTATTGAATGGTTATCAATGACAATGAAGATGGAGGAGCTAAAGATGTCCGGCAGACGCTCATCGGACCGGGACCCGTGGCACCGGCGGAGCAGTGGCCTCCAGGACTGGCGGACGGGGCAGAAGCACATTAGTTTGCTCTGAAACACAAGCTACAGAGAGACAGGTGAGCGGAGGACAGGTTTACCTGCGCCTCTGGGGCGGGCTGCTGCGGCGGCGGTAGTCATCCCGTGGGCGGCGGTTCCAAGAAGGAGGTGGACCCCGGCTACGAGTCCGCTTCTCGCCATTGGACAATTCAACCCTCACTCGGCAACCACAGAGGGTCCTGCATGACGACATTAACAAACAGCTGATTACATCAGAATCTGAGTTACTGGTGTTAAATTAACTACAAAAATGTCCATCTCTTGATCACATATAGATTACTTTTGTAGATTAAATATAGATTACATGTAGATTACTTTTAGATGACATTACTTTTATGCTCTTTTGTCAATTACTTTTAGATTACATCATATTACTTTTCCACTTCCATAGATTACATATAGATTACTTTTGTAGAATACATATAAATTACTTTTGTAGATTACATATCAATTACTTTTGTAGATTACATATAAATTACTTTTGTAGATTACACATAGATTACTTTTGTAGATTACATGTAGATTACTTTAAGATGACAATACTTTTATACTCTTTAGTGGATTACTTTTAAATTACATATTACTTTTCTACTTCCGTAGATTAAATTTAGATTACTTTTGTAGATTACTTATTTTACATTTAGGGTGCTTTCACATCTGTGGTGCTGTTATTTGGTCCGGACCAAAGGCAACAAATTATACATGGTAGCATTTTTCTGCTGTTTTTGGGTCCTTTTCACAGCACACTGCTAGCTTTGATCCGAACCAGTTGAAAACCAAAATGCAAACATGCAACAAAATCTACGTCACTCATTGGTCAGATGTTATTGATTGCATTTCCTAAACTGCTTTTCGATTGGTCAGAATTAAAGTGTGGGAAAATGCCAATGGAACTCCAGCAAGTAAACAAACTGGCAGACACAACATGTGGCTTTTGACTATGGAGGGACGACTGCGCTGGATGATTGTATTTCTGCTCATATTGTACTATATAGTTTGTATCCATCACGTTAGACAAACTAAACATTTTGATAATGAAATGCGTCTGGAAAACAATGTTTTAATGCATTGCAAATGGCAAAAGTGCATCAAGTCACTTCAGAAGGAGGCGTGCACTAATTTAGCTAAACTGCGACGTGCTCATCTTCTAGAATGTTTTTCCCTGTCGTTCTGTTTACAATTGTTGGTAAAGAGCTGTCAACAAATATTCTTCCTCCACAGCCCATAAGATGGGATAGCGCATCAGACTACGGCGGCTGGACTAATCCAAAAAAGTGCAGTTTTAAAAATTAATTAACCAATTACACATACTTGATTTTATTTTTTAGAATTGGATTACGTAGTCCGTTAGATTACATGTAATGCATTATCTATCATTATCTTCAAAATATCTTTTAAAGTGAAGAAACGTAAACTGGACACATTATCAGATGAACTTTAACTTGTGTGAATCCAGACTTACCGCCCGTCCAGCTCTCTGACGGCGTCTGTGGCATCACGAGGGTCTTCAAACTCAACAAACGCAAAACCAGGAGGGTTTCTGGCCACCCAGACGCTCCTCAGAGGTCCGTAGTAGCCAAACGCCCTCTCCAGCTCAGACTTATTCCCATTATTCCCCAGATTCCCAACGTAAACCTTGCAGTCCAGGGGGCAGTCGCGATGCATGGTTCAATCTGCGCGAAACAAGACATCGCATTAACCAACAGCAAACCAGACTTTGAGTTTCAATACAAAACAGCAGCATTAAAGCGAGTGGGGATGTTTTAGGTCTCAGTGTTGATCAAACACAACTGATGTGAACAATCCTTCATGAAAATGGTAAACTGTACTTGTTCCAGTTGAGGAATGTCTAAAGGCTAACTCTCATTTGATTTTGTTTTTATGAAAATACAACAGTTGTTCACGATATTAAAAAAGCAACCAACTATTTGTTACCAATAAATTCAGTCCGCCATCTTGTTCTGGTTGACACACCAGCACCAGTTTCCCATTGACTTCAATAACCAGACTGAATATCTCTAGAGAGATGACTTAATGCTATTAAAGGGACAGTTCACACAACACTGAAAATGCTGTTATCACTTACACATCAGAAGAACATCTTTTGAAAGACGCAGAAAGACTCTAATCATTGATTTCCAAACTAATACAGCTTATTTTGTGTTAAACGGTAAAAACCCAAAGGTTTGAAACCACTTGAGGGAGATTATACTTGCATTTTTGTGCGAATTTTTAAAAGAGGCGCGGCTGCTCTCAGCTTCAACTCTTAAAGGGACAGTTCACAAAATTAAAAATCCACTCACTGTCAAGTGGTTATAAGCATTTTGAGTTTCTTTGTTTGGTTTAACACAAAGGAAGATACTGCGGAATCTTGTAAGCTGGTAGTCATTGACATTCAAAGTAGGAAAAACAGAAACTATGCAAATTAATGGCAACCAGTTTACAACATTTATCGAAATATCCTTTGTATTCGTCAGAAGGAAAAAAGCTCAAACATGTTTGTTACAAGAAGAGAATGAGTAAATGATGGCAGTGATCATTTTTTTTGGATTAACTGTGTCTTTGATATGAGTGTATTTGTGTGAACTATTCCTTTAAGAGAGGCGTGGCTGTTCTCAGTTTAAACTCTTAAAGGGACAGTTCACACAAAAAATAAAAGTACTCACTATAAACTGGTTACAAGCATGTTGTGTTTCTTTGTTTAGTTGAACACAAAGGAAAATACTGAAGAATCTTGTAAACTGGCAGCCATCGACATTCACAATAATGAAATTGAAACAAATCAATGGTGACCAGTTTCCAACATTCTTTAAAATATCTTTTGTATTCACCAGAAGGGAATAAATGATAGCAGAAATGCAGTTGTTTGGGGTTAACAGTGTGTGTTTGATACAATAAAGCTGCTGAATGTGATCTCAGTGCAACTAAACGGTTTATTCGGATTGTTTAAACACCGCTGTTACGTTAGATGAGTGAGGTAAAGGCCTTAGAGCCTCAAGGCTTTAAACTTTGTTTGTTTGCATTCCCATAAAGTTAATACAAACAGCTCAATATAATTTACTACACATTCAGTTAGAAATCGTAGTGTTTAAAAATTGAAGTAACTTATAAAACACACAAAAACAACACGCAAAATGAACAGAAAGCGGAGGGATACACGTGAACGGTAGTAGTGAATGAATGGACTGGGATATCTAGCTTTTGTTCGCTGCTTAAAATGGCGTTCGAGAGTGACTGGTAAAACATCACTAAAACAATACATATTAAACATGTCTGCTTCACATGCAATAAGTATGCTTAAGTATAACATAATTGATATGAATAGTGGACTAAAGCATCGCTAATTAAGGGTTTGCAGCAAGAGGCTAACCGCTAATGTGGGTCAATAGTAAAATGGCGTCTGGAGGAAAAGCACAATTATGTTAAAAACGCAAACGCGTTACTTAATAGTGATCAAGAAAATACCACAAACGGCTCGTTTGGAAACATTATTTCGTAATGGAAGAGAAAAAACACAACTCACCGTAATTATCGCGTATTTCTGGCCGTGTGTGTGTGTTTGATTCCTGGCACGGGTCTGCTCCGAAATGGCGCAGCGCGGAAACGCGGACGTACTGACGTGTATTACGTCATGATGGACGCAGAGTAGGCGGGGCTTCAGTTTATGCACATTTATTAGTGCGAGAGAAAACCTGAAACGACGAATAAATGATCATACATTCCCTAAAATCAAATACAAGGAAAACTTACAAATCTGTACTGATAGATTAACAGACCCAGTCACAGGAATTCCAGGCATATACATGCCAATATTAAAGAATTTCAAAAAGATTATCAGATTATCAATAGGGTATATGCCGAGCTATTGTGTTTCCCACATTGATAAACTTCCGGTGATCTGTTATTGTGTTTTTTTTTTCATTTTATTTGGTTCCTTTTACAGCGTCGATGTTGTAATGTCATTAAAATACAATCAGTTAAACAGACTTTGGCTTTCATTTAGTTGCTCAAGCATAAAACGAGACAAAAAGCCGTCTACTCGCACACACACAGGCTAGCGCAGAAGCTCCATTAAATACATGGATAAAATAAATGCTCTGATTATAAAGACATGGTGGGGGAAAATGTCATTTAATGCGGTGCTTTTTGTACAATCTGAGACCCACTTTATATCAGATATCACTCAGCCAGTGGAGATCGCTGATTTTTAAAGAAAACACACCTTAAACGCGCGGTTTTGCAATGGCATTCAGTTCACCGGAAGCGATTAACCCAGTTAACTGGCAAATTAAAAGTCCTATTAGCATGCTTTGGCATTTACCCCATTTATTCTAGGAATAACTGCATTATAAAATGGTTTACATGGGTGGCAGAATAATGCCCTGAGAGGGTGGTAATGTGTCAGGATTCAGCATTATCATCTTTAATTACTCAGAGATCACCCAGAGAAGATTTAATTCATGAGGTATTCACACGTTTGTACCCTATAGATCAGTGGTTCTCAAACTTTTTTCACCAAGTACCACCTTAGAAAAAAATCGCCTCTCCAAGTACCACCTTACGACGCTATTTTTTAACCAGTATTAAAAAATAGCGTCGTAAGCCTAATTAAGCAGCTACAGGTGTGTACAGTTTTAAAACGATGCAGATTACTTCCTATTAGTAAGAATATGTTTTATTGTCAGTCACTTTAAACATTTGAAATAGTCTGAACATTAACTGTGCTTGTGAAATTAAAAGTTCTTGTGAAATCTTTTTTGTACTTGTAACCGGTGTTCGCACTCTCTGCGTTGTGTACAATTATGAGACAGGCCACTGGTACTGCTGATGGTGGGTTTATTGTCACTCAAGCGTCAGATCAGAGCAAACTGGATGAATCAGAAAACAGCACAGTAAGTTGATATGATTTCGTTTGTAAATTTCCCCACCTCTCCTCAGCGCGCTCAATGCGGTCTGAGCAAACATAACAATAACATCATACCCAATTAAAACTGGGTAAACAGATCACAAAAGTACAAAAAGTAAATAAATAAAAATAACAAATGATTACATTTCCATACATTGTGATATTAATTAATCTTCCCCTATCTAACTTTATATTAGAAATTAATGTAATTGCGAAACAAATGTAAACACAAAGAAGCATAAATGTACATAAAACAATACCTGGATGAATCAGAAAACAGCACAGTAAGTTGATATGATTTCGTTTGTAAATTTCCCCACCTAACAAATAAATAGCAGTTACAAAGTGTTAGAAGGTCATTCGAAATCACTGTGTCCAGTATACATACTTATACACACATACTCAATCAACTGTGCTCAGTAAAGTGATTAATTTTATCCATCCACATGAAGAAAAGTACTTCCTAGTTAATATAGAACACTCTTACAAACAATACAATCGCATATTTAAAGCTTATTTAAAGTTCTGACAACTTTTAGAACGATTCTCCTTGGAGCACCATTAAAAGCTCACCTCTCCTCAGCGCGCTCAATGCGGTCTGAGAACCCAGCGCGGCAACCGGAAGTGACGTTGCGCGGCAACCGGAAGTGACGTAGCGCGGCAACCGGAAGTAACGTTGCGCGCAAAACAAATATAAAACTATTTTCATTAAACAACACATATAGAGTAAAAACTAAATTCTAACATATGTCTAAACAAATTGATGCAAAACAAATGCACGAAAATTAAAAAGGAGGGACTATTAGTGAAATGCATTAAATTAATACTCTTATTATCACCCGTCACATTCACCCCTCCTGAATTTCACTAATATCCTGACCGAGATGACATCGATCTATCATAACCAGATTTTTAGCAAATCTTATTCGCAGTTCAACATTGCAAGTTACCCACTTAACGGGTTAAGAAAAGCCCAAGGTTGATCAAGTCCTAGACATTCTTAGAACAATATGCTGCCTTGTACAACATACAATAATCTGGTAAGATTTTAACTGAAATTCTTACGGCGCACATACTTAATTGTTATTTTTGCATCATCACAAAACTGATCTAAAATAAGGAAAGAACTGATCCTGATCTCCTTGTTAAAAGTGAGCCAACCCTCTGAACATAAAATGGCCTTTGCGCCATAGATTCTATCAAGCGGCTAACTTTTTTTACCATTCTACCTGCACGGGTTTTAACACCTTGTGTGTCAGTGGGACAATGTGTTGGTGCGTTAGATATGGTGTTATCATCTGGATCATTTAATGTATGTGGTCGTGGTTCAGAGTTTTTGGCGAAGGACGCAGTTTCTAAATCGGACACCGGATCAGGACTACCCTCATTGACTTCAGTTGCATTAAGGTCTTGTTCACAGAAACTGCCTTCACTTAGATTAGAACAACTGGATCCTATGTCATCATCTTCTTCAGGCTTTTGTCTTTCACTCTCATCCTGTCCATCAAGTATCCATCCTTCCGTTCCATCAAAGTTCTCTTCCTCTTCCAAACTGGATAACTCTGGTGCATGAGACTCTGTTTCCTCATTCTCAGCAGTAGGCTGAGTATCTTCTTCATCTTGAGATTGTTCAATTGGTAAGAAGCTAATATCCAGTATCAGGTTGCGATGCACCACTTTGCATTTTCCATTGTTGTCAACCAGCTTGTATATGTTTGTTTGAAGATTTCTGTCTCTTACAGTATAAACAGTTGGATCCCACTTATCTGCAAGTTTTTTCTTTCCTCGTTCACTCTTGTTTGCAAGAAGCACCCTATCTCCAACGTTCAGACACATGCCCTTGACCTTCCGATTGTAATTCTTAGCCTGCTTTTTCTGCTCCTTCTCTGTGTGTTTCTGCGCAATGCATGCAGCTTCATGAAGGTAAGACATAAGTGTTTTTGCGTAACTGCCATAATCAACAATCACAGGATCATGTAATGCTTGCGCAAATACAACATCAACTGGCAGCTTGGGAATGCGACCAAACATTAACTGGAATGGCGCATAACCCGTGGTCTCATGCACGGTGGAGTTATACGCAAATGTCAAAGTCTGTATATGTTCGGGCCACTTCTGTTTTTCCTTAAGAGGCAAGGAGCGAAGCATATTGCCCAAGGTCCGATTGAATCGCTCTGTTCCTCCGTTCCCCATGGGGTGGTATGCCGTAGTGTGCGACTTCTCAACACCTGCCAGCTTAAGCAACTCTGCGATGAGGGTACTTTCAAAGTTGGTCCCTTGATCTGTATGAATGCGAGATGGAAAACCATAAATACAGAAGACATGATCCCACAGTTTTTTTGCAATTTGTTTTGCTTTCTGGTTTACACATGGGAAAGCATGGGCCAACTTTGTAAAGTGATCCGTCACGACTAATACATCCACAGAGCGTTGCTTGCTGTCCTCCGCACTCCAAAAATCCAAACACACTAACTCCATAGGGGCTGAAGTCCTGATGTTCTCAAGTGGGGCTCGAGCAGATGGCTCTGGTGTTTTGGCCAATATGCACCTCTGACAACATTTAACATACTCTCTTATGTCACGCTCCATCCGAGGCCAGAAAAAGCGTTGTCGAGCTAGTTGAAGAGTTCTTGACCTTCCCTGGTGTCCAGCAAGATCATGCACACCAGTTAAGGCTCTAGCCTTAAGGCTACTAGGCATTACAAGTTGGAACCTCTTGTGTGTGCTTGATGGGTCCTTGCAAACACGGTAAACTACTCCATCTTGAACCTTCAAACGATCTAGTTGCCTAAGAAGAATTTGAGTCACAGCATCCATTGCAACCACCTCTCGTCTTGATGGCCTTCTTTGCTTCTCCAGATAGGGCATTATCTTAGAAATCGAGGGATCTGCTTCTTGACCCCGACGAATCTCTTCGATAGGGATCGCTGAAACTGGATCAAATCCAGTAGTCGTTGCATCTTGGATATATTGGATTGCTTGCATAGCCCTTAGCTCAGTTACAGCTTTCCACTGCTCCGATAGGTTCAAAAGAGTTTTAACTGTCACTTGATCACAGGAAACTGGGCTTGTCAGAGTTGACACATATAGATTGTTTGCTTGCAAACGGAAGGTGTCCTGAACTCCATCTTTGTCGACAGTTTCAGCCTCAGAAAGCAGACTCCCATATTGCTCGGTTATGAGCCTACGAGCAATGGTTCGCGCAAACGGATCCCGGCTTAAAGCGTCAGCTACAGTATTTTTACTTCCAGCAATATGCTTGAGATCAAAAGTATAAGCAGCAAGCTTAGATACCCAGCGCTGTTCGCAAGCATCGAGTTTAGCCTTTGTTAATATATAAGTGAGGGGGTTATTGTCGGTCCACACTGTGAATGTGTGGCCCTTTAACCAGTGACTGAATTTTTCACACACACTCCACTTTAGGGCTAAAAACTCGAGCTTGTGCACTGGATATCTCCTTTGAGAGTTGGTTAAGGACTTGCTTGCGAATGCAATGGGACGTGCTTTTTCTTCACCAGCTGGTATCTGTGACAGCACAGCTCCAAGTCCTTCCAAAGAAGCATCAATTGACAGGATTAGGGGAAGTGAGAAATTGGGATGCGCTAAAACCACGCTCTGCAACAAACTCTCTTTCAACTTAGAGAGAGCATCATCACATTCTGGGGTCCAATCAACTGGCTTCAGTTTTCGATATGTGCCTGCCTTAGCCTCAGTTTTTAATTTTGTTCTTCTTTTCTGCCCAGCTGTTAGGGAGAACAATGGTCTGGCAACTGAAGAGCAATTTGGAATAAAATGTTGGTAATAGAGGATCATTCCCAAGACAGACTTTATTCGACGTACAGACGGAGTACACCCGTCCTCTTCCATGAGGTCAGTTTTTGAGAGCTTGGCTATGACTTCAACCTTCGAAGGATCAACGGAAACACCATTTCCATCAACGATGTGGCCTAAGAATTTAACAGACGCTTGCATCAGATGGCACTTTTTCGGACTTAATTTAAGGTTGTAGCTTCTCAATCGTTGGAATACCATCTCTAACCGCTCCAAGGCTGTGGTCTCGTCGGGTGCAAACACCAGCAAGTCATCTAAGTAGCACAGCAAACTACTAAAATTCAGGTCCCCAAAGATACTTAACATCATACGCATGAAAGATGCTGGGCTGTTACACAACCCTTGAGGCATCCTGTTGTACTCATGAAGACCTACAGGTGTTGCAAATGCGGTGTACTTTTTATCCTCTTCAGCCATTGGGATGTTATAAAAGCCCGATGTTAAATCCATCGTGCTAAAGAGGGTATTACCACCGAGGGCAACAAGACAGTCTGATTGGTGCGGGAGTGGGTGCGCATCCTTAATAGTCCTAGCATTTAGCCATCTGAAATCCGTACAGATCCTTAAGCTGCCATCTCTCTTCCATACTAAGACCAAAGGTGAGGCATATTCACTTACTGATTTACGTATGATTCCTTGCTCTTCCATCTCTGAGAGAACTTGACGTAATTTTTGGTAGTGAGCGGGTGGTACTCGTCTGTATGGAAGTCGAAATGGGCGATCGTCAGTTAAGTGGATGCGGTGAACAAAGCCTCTGACCTCCCCACAATCTAAGGCGTGTTTGGAGAATACATCATGGTAAGTCTCTAGCAATTGGACTAGCTTTTCTTTTGCCGTATCACTGGCAGAACAAGAGTCTATGTCAACATCACTGAGACTAACAGTCTCCAGTCTCTTTTTCAGGTCCCCTGCAGTAACAGGTTGTGGATCTTTGTCAGGTGTGGGCAACTGGACTCCACTGAAACCTTGAAACAGCTCAAAATCTTCCACGGCAAGGCACGGATACACATCAGCCAACTTGCAATTCCTTTTGAGGGTGATTGGCTTATCTGACAGGTTAGTGACCTTCAGGGGAACCCAATGATCTCCCCACAAGGGTGTGACAACACGACCTATGATAATGTCTCGTGGCATGGTTCTAGAAGAAGTGGCTTCCACTATTACAGTGCTTCCAGGCGAGATAGCAGTGTCTCTTGGTAACTTTCCCCAGACAAGGTGTTCTTGTTTGGCCATTAGAGTAACTGACTGGCGAAGCTTGACAGTCCCAACCTTGTGTGGCGGAATACCGCCTCTCCAGCGGCAAGTATTTGCCATAACATCAAGGAATTGTTCGCATGACGTAGGTGGCCCTGAGACACTGTCAGACAAAATCCTCCAGTAATCATCACTTATCTTCATTTGGTGCATGAGAAACTTAATAACGTTGGTACCAATTATCAAATCGTCTCGTTGCCCTGGTACAACTAGAACAGGCACCAAGCATCTTTCACCATACACCTTTAGCTCGACTTCATACATGCATTTTGGTTTGGTTATTTTACCTCCGCATCCAATTAGCATTATTTCCTGGGACAAAGGTGAGGGTTTTGGCAACACATCTTCACAGAGCATCCGACTTTCTACCGCTTCACTAAAAGTGCATGCCATAGATCCTGAATCCAACATTCCTTTTATCTGGAATCTATCATTCACATAGACAGGTGCATAAAACAATTCATCAAACACTTCTAAAGTTTGCATATTCTGTGCGATCACTTTGACTTCAGCCGGAGCCTGCGCACATGCCTTCTCATAAACTTGTTTAAGATCTACATCTTCGAGGGTTTGTCCTACCCTACCCACACGTCCCCTCTCCAGGTGTGGGTCGACTATTTTAAAGTCGGTGAACCTTGCGATTGCTGTGTTATCTGGCTGCCAGAGCCATGCTGACTATTTACGCAATTTCTTTTTATGTGCCCAGGTTGGAAGCAAGCAAGACAGAGTCGTTGACGTCGGCAGTGTGAGAGAGTTGAATGTTCATATGAACGACACACCTTACAAGCTCTCGTAGGCGGTTGGCTCTGTCGAGGACTACTCATTTCAGCTTGAGAATTCTGGGAGAGCGCACGGTCAAGTAAGGTGATGAGTGTTTTCATACAGTTATCATCATTCTGTGTAGAAGATGAAATACTCAAGTTAGAATGTTCAGATGCCACGACTGGGGAGCCACTAGCCATCATCTCATTCTCCACGAGTGACTGTCGGTGAACTGCAACATTCCTCATAACATTGCGCTTAGATTTAATTGCCAACTGTTCTTTTTGCTCAACCTGATATCTGTCTAGATGCTCTTGTACCTCACTCGCTGTCCACTTGTCTGCTGCTTTCAAACGGAAAACGGCTGACAAGCTGGGGTCCGGACAGTATTTGACAAACATCATGGCTGCCTCCTGACAAGGATTATCCATCTGTCGCCCAAGTCTTTTCAAAGCCTCTTCAGCAGCATCCACAGCCTTATTCAACCGGACCCAATACTCAACTGGGTTCTCTCCAATAACGGAAACTGTGCTGTAGAAATCTGCTAAAGGCATAGAGGAGAATCTGACTTCACTGAAATGTTGCTTTAGGATATCGAATATCACTCTGGGGTTCTCAGAAGGTTTTAGAGATGTGTTGCTGCGTAGGGTTATTTTTACAATGTCTTTGGCCTTACCCAGCAGCCTGGAAAGGATTTCATGATAATGCTCGGAAGCTGGTATGCCTCTTTTACGAAGGTATGTGTCCAGTAAATCCTCCCACTCATGCACAGTGAACTTATCTGTTCCATCACCTCGGAACACAGGAGGCTCTCTTACTTCAGATTGCATGACTAATTTGACTCCTGTCAAATTAAGTGAGGGTGTTTCTGTGAATGACTGACCAGCAACTGGACTCTGTGTCTGTGCATTATTAGTTTCTCCTTCCCCATATCTTCCCCCACCTTGAACAGAAATCAAAGTCTGTCCTACTTCTTGAGCAATGTGTGTTATGAGATTTTGCCATGCAGTATCATTTAAATCTGGGCTAGCCAAAAATGGGTTACTCCTTAACTGACTAGGTGTTTGTTCAGTTACCCGGGTAGAACAAAATTCAGAAGTTCGTCCCACACTACCCCTCCCTGCAACAGGCGTAGATGAATTAGCAAAAAGTCTTCCCCTTCCGAAAGTTAAATCTGACATGTTCTCCTCACCCTTAAAACTGTCTGCTTTGAAACCATATGCCATTACTACTTATTGGCATGTAAATGATCAAACATTGAATAAAATTTTAGAATAGATAAACCAGCTTCGGAGAACAACTACCAAAAAATATATATGTTAAACAGGAAAACAGGTATATTAAATTCAAATAGAAATAAAGAAAGGATATAGTGAAGTGTCCAGTTTGATGAAAGTGCAATGCTCTCTATCACAGTTCATCAAAACCTTGATTGAAGTGCAGCATCCACCGGCGACCAAACGACATTGATCTTTGGATGAAGATTCCAGAAGAGCTGATCTTCATCCGGGTCACGGCACCACTGTAACCGGTGTTCGCACTCTCTGCGTTGTGTACAATTATGAGACAGGCCACTGGTACTGCTGATGGTGGGTTTATTGTCACTCAAGCGTCAGATCAGAGCAAACTGGATGAATCAGAAAACAGCACAGTAAGTTGATATGATTTCGTTTGTAAATTTCCCCACCTCTCCTCAGCGCGCTCAATGCGGTCTGAGCAAACATAACAATAACATCATACCCAATTAAAACTGGGTAAACAGATCACAAAAGTACAAAAAGTAAATAAATAAAAATAACAAATGATTACATTTCCATACATTGTGATATTAATTAATCTTCCCCTATCTAACTTTATATTAGAAATTAATGTAATTGCGAAACAAATGTAAACACAAAGAAGCATAAATGTACATAAAACAATACCTGGATGAATCAGAAAACAGCACAGTAAGTTGATATGATTTCGTTTGTAAATTTCCCCACCTAACAAATAAATAGCAGTTACAAAGTGTTAGAAGGTCATTCGAAATCACTGTGTCCAGTATACATACTTATACACACATACTCAATCAACTGTGCTCAGTAAAGTGATTAATTTTATCCATCCACATGAAGAAAAGTACTTCCTAGTTAATATAGAACACTCTTACAAACAATACAATCGCATATTTAAAGCTTATTTAAAGTTCTGACAACTTTTAGAACGATTCTCCTTGGAGCACCATTAAAAGCTCACCTCTCCTCAGCGCGCTCAATGCGGTCTGAGAACCCAGCGCGGCAACCGGAAGTGACGTTGCGCGGCAACCGGAAGTGACGTAGCGCGGCAACCGGAAGTAACGTTGCGCGCAAAACAAATATAAAACTATTTTCATTAAACAACACATATAGAGTAAAAACTAAATTCTAACATATGTCTAAACAAATTGATGCAAAACAAATGCACGAAAATTAAAAAGGAGGGACTATTAGTGAAATGCATTAAATTAATACTCTTATTATCACCCGTCACATACTCAAGTAAAAATACACTGCTAAAATAACAAAAATTTAAGTAAATAATACTAATATTAGGTAAAAGTACAAATTACTCTTTTAAAAAGTACTAGTTGATTATTTTTGAAAAAAATCTGATTTTCATTATGAAATCACTTTTTTTTAAGTGTAAACCTAATTAAATGGTTTGATTGCTTACATCCCAAAGCTACATGTATAATTTGCACTAACAAAGAAAGTATAGTCAATTTTTCCTTTCATGACAATTAATCTTTTTCAATAGCACTGGTAAAACTACCACATAATCTTTAAGGCCATAGAGACACTTTTTGCCCATTTTTCAAAATATATATATATTTAAGCTTTAAAAGGTTAAATTAAAGTATATGGTAAAAAGATTTAAATTTAGCCTTTTATTTACATATTTTACACTATTTTCTTTACAATATGGCAAATTTGTTTCTTAAATAGCTGTACATCACATGTAGATTTTATTTTACACTTGATCTTAATCTAAAATAGAAACGTAAAAAAATACAAGTACACTGTCAGTAAAAAAAATAAAACAAATGACTTCATTTTACTTGAGGTATTTGAAATATGACGACACTACATTTATCAAAGCAGTGCTTTAAGAGCTATGTAAATTGTGATAAATAAACAATAAGTAGGCTAACAATGGATTGCTTTGACCTGTAATGCTTTAGGACAGATCAGAATACAGCTAAATGTATAAATCACACAAATACCTCATCCAGAAACATTTCCAGCATAATTATTTTGTCGTAAAGAAATAAAAAATGTTCCACCTTTGCTAAAAGTAAGTTTCACTTCACAACACAGCCAAATAAAAAGACCATTAGCATTGTCATCGATCATGAATCAATCTAATTCTAAATATTTGATAACTTTGAATACTTTTGACTAAATTTAGTTAAGGAGCAAAGATAAATAATGTCTACTTTAATAGTGGAGAGATCGCGATTGTATTCTATCTGAGCACACACGCGATCATGAGAGGTCTTGCAGTTCATTTCAAAAAAGCCTATTTAAGAGCTCGCATATCTGTTTTAGCGATTTGCGTACATGAATGCGCTCTCGTGTTAAAATAAAGCACTCGCCACATTTGCAGAAATGAGTAATTGCGCAATACCTCCATTCCCGCGCTGCCATTCATACTGTGTTTAGAGGAGTGACAGGTCAGAGGCGAGTCGACTGGCTGTCGGAGAGCGAAACGTGTTTGTAGATCATCAAATAGGCAGGAAATATGTCCGCGGTTTAATTACTCTGCTAGACATCTCTATAGTGAAAACATCCGAGAAGCATTATTCCAACAAAACATTTGTTTTTAAGTAGTTTTTTCTGTCTCTGCAACACAGAAAGCCTTTGTCCCGCCCTTACGTTTCACGCAACTAGACAAGGTCGACTGTGATTGGCCACTTTTCATGTCAGTCAAATCACGCTTCAGAATCAATTCTTAAACTTCGGAAACTGATTTTCAGCAGCTTATGACACAATGCACTAAAATAAACATTCTAAGCACAGCGTTGTGATCGTACGCTTCACAAAACAGCCAATGCTGATCACATCAATGTTATATTACGCATTAAAGGATTAAAGTCTTAATTGTTTCTTTCATTATTCAGCGATTCCTCCGCGTACCACTAGGAGGAAGCCCGTACCACAGTTTGAGAACCACTGCTATAGATGAATGGGGTTTATGCCGAAGCATGCTAATCGGACTTTTAATTTGTTTCATTTCAGCTAGAATAAAAGCAGTTTTTACTTTTTTAAACACCATTTTAAGGTCAATATTGAGCAATATTTTTTCGATAGTCTACAGAACAAACCATCGTTACACAATACAATACAACTCGCCCATGAAGAATCTAACTAAGGACCTGAGAATCCATGTAGCATGTGTGTGTTGTTTCAAGAAAAGAACTATTAGTGTTGTGTTTTATTTTTATTTGTTTTTTTCAGTTGTTCTTCATTAAAATATTTTATTAAATCAATTGATCTTTAATCATTTATATAATTATCATCATATCATTTTATTGATCAGTAGTTAATGATTTGATTATTATTATTGATTATCTGTCATTTTATTAGGTTTTTATATTTTATTATTACTATTTTATTATAATTATTGCTTCATTATTATTTCCATGTTGTTATGAATGTTGATTCCAGCGGCACTTGATTTCATGAGTAAGAGATAAGAGAATGTCTCCATTTCAAGGTCTGTGTTGTCTCTGTACAATGTTGTGCAGCAGTAATTTTCCAAGTCCGAGCACTTGAATCATACGCAACTAAGATTATTCAATAAACTCTGCTCCTTCTTTATCATCATTACTTCATCTCCTGCTTCAGCTCCTCTCTGGTTTTCCCAGTCAGTTCCTATATTGACAGGAGACTGTTCATTCAGTTAAATACTGGTTAACAGGTTCAGGTATTGGAAACTTTGCTGACTTGTTGTCCATATACCTGGAGACACAGACATTTCCTGACCAGATCTGGCGTCTGGGGCTGGATCTTATTTATCTGGCATGGAGATGGTGGTCTAATACCTAATTACACTAACTTGACTAGTTAACCTAATTAAATGTCTCTTTAAGCTGTATGGAAGAGTCTTGAAGAATATCTAGTCTAATATCTAGTCTAATAATAACAAAGAGAAAATAAATCAGTTATTAGAGATGAGTTATTATTATGATTAGAGATGTGTTGGAGAAATCTGCTCTCCGTTAAACAGAAATTGGGGAAAAAGTAAACAAGGGAGTTTATAATTCTGACTTCAACTGTGTGTGTGTGTGTGTGTGTGTGTGTGTGTGTGTGTGTGTGTGTGTGTGTGTATGTATACTGTAGGTGGCGGCATGTGCATATGACACCAGCCCGCCAGTAAAATAAAGAAGAACTGCTGTTCCACGGTTGTTGCTAGAGCGGATACATTTGCAGCCGGAAGTTAACGCGAATTATTTCTATTATTTATTAAATTTCACATTTGTTGTATTTTATTAACGTCTACCCCCACCCCAACCCTAAACCCAACCGTCACAGAAATGTAAAAACTGTATTTGTACCGAGTATTAGTTATGTTATCTATTAAATTACCCAATAAAATGTATTTTTTAACGCCTACCTGCTGAAAAATCCAGCTTAAACCAGCCTAGGCTGGTTGGCTGGTTTTAGCTGGTTGACCAGGCTGGTTTTAGAGGGGTTTTGGCCATTTCCAGGCTGGTTTCCAGCTATTTCCAGCCTGGTCTTAGCTGGTCAGGCTGGAAAATGACCAGCTTAATCCAGGCTGGTCAATCTGGTTTTAGCTGGATTTGCTTTAGCTGGTTTTGGCTGGACTCCCAGCTTGGCTAGGCTGGTCAAGCTGGTTTTAGCTGGTCATCTCCCAGCCTGACCAGCTAAGACCAGGCTGGAAGTGGCCAAAACCCCTCTAAAACCAGTCTGGAAGTGGCCAAAACCCCTCTAAAACCAGCCTGGAAATGGCCAAAACCCCTCTAAAACCAGCCTGGTCAACCACCTAAAACCAGCCAACCAGCCTAAGCTGGTTTAAGCTGGATTTTCCAGCAGGGATCCGATCTAGACTTTACCCTGTTCCACGAAACAGTAAACTAGTTATAGTGATATAACTCTCACTCGACGTGTTTTGTATTGAAATAACTACCGTTGTTCACATTCACAAAACCAACTATTGAGTGTTTATTTAGCGGAAAGGCGATATTTGAGGCCTATATTTGGGGTGGTTTCACACACAGGCCAATGTGTCATGCATGAGTATCAGCTGTTATATGTTGTGTTAAATGTACATTTCCACTCCTCAACATGTTTACTGTGCACACAGCATTGGCAATAAAGCTTCAGCAGAGTTTCTTTAATGAGTTGGCGATGGCACAGTGATCATGTCGGAGTGATTGAGCCTATATGAGTTGTGTGTGCGGTTGCTAATCAGAGGTGTTTGACTCTGCAGGAATCAGCGCTCAGATCCTCATCAAGCGCTCGCATTCCTCACCTGTAGAAACCACATCCATGACGTGCTGCTATGGAGAGGGATGCTCTCATCCGTCTGCTGACCTGGAAACCCGCCGACGCCATTGCCAAGCTCTGAAGTTCCAACGTAAAGGCATTTTAACTAGAACGCTTATTACGGACACAAACAGCCACCAACTCCTCAAACCAAAACACTTCCTCATCTATTCTCCAGCTGATTCACCTCTCCGTCAGCAGAATCACACTTCTATTGAACAGAATGTGTCTGTGATCTCAGTTGGGGCGCCGGAATGGAGCGACACCCAAAACCACGACTGATCAGTAGTTTGGTGCATCCATTATCAATGAGCCGGTGGAAGCAACTGAAGCATATTCGCATGATAATTGGAAGTCGGTGGAGTCTGATGTCACTTCCTGTGTGTTCGGGGTCTATATAAACGCAGGAAGCGAGCGTCTGTCAGTCAAACACCTGCAGGAGACACGCAGCACAGGTGAAGCTCTGTGGGTTCATGCTTTTGCTCTTCAGCTCCAGGCGTTGATGTGTTTGTGGACCATGTTGAAGATGCAGAGATCTCAGCAGCGCGTCGCTCTCATGATGCTGATGGTGGTCGCCGCCGTGCACTGCCAGGAGAGCGAGAGGTACAATATCTGTCTGTCTGTCCATCCATCCATCCATCCATCCATCTATCCATCTATCTATCTGTCCGTCCGTCCGTCCTTCCTTCCATCCATCCATCCATCTATCTATCTATCGGTCTGTCTGTCTGTCTATCTATCTGTCCGTCCGTCCGTCCGTCCGTCCGTCTGTCTGTCTATCTATCTATCTATCTATCTATCTATCTATCTATCTATCTATCTATCTATCTATCTATCTATCTATTGGTCTGTCTGTCTGTCTATCTATCTGTCCGTCCATCCGTCCGTCCATCCATCCATCCATCCATCCATCCATCCATCCATCCATCCATCTATCTATCTATCTATCTATCTATCTATCTATCTATCTATCTATCTATCTATCTATCTATCTATCTATCTATCTATCTATTGGTCTGTCTGTCTGTCTGTCTGTCTATCTATCCGTCCATCCATCCATCCATCCATCCATCCATCCATCCATCCATCCATCCATCCATCCATCCATCCATCCATCTATCTATCTATCTATCTATCTATCTATCTATCTATCTATCTATCTATCTATCTATCTATCTATCTATCTATCTATCTATCTATCTATCTATCTATCCGTCCGTCTATCTATCTGTCCGTCCGTCCGTCCGTCCATCCTTCTATACATCCATCCATCCATCCATCCATCTATCTATCTATCTATCTATCTATCTATCTATCTATCTATCTATCTATCTATCTATCTATCTATCTATCTATCTATCTATCTATCTATCTATCTATCTATCTATCTATCTGTCCATCCGTCCGTCTATCTATCTGTCCGTCTGTCTGTCCGTCCATCCTTCTATACATCCGTCCATCCGTCCGTCCGTCCGTCCGTCCGTCCGTCCATCCATCCATCCATCCATCCATCCATCCATCCATCCATCCATCCATCCATCCATCCATCCATCTATCTATCTATCTATCTATCTATCTATCTATCTATCTGTCCGTCCATCTATCTATCTGTCCGTCCGTCTATCTATCTGTCCGTCCGTCCGTCCGTCCATCCTTCTATACATCCATCCATCCATCCATCCATCCATCCATCCATCCATCCATCTATCTATCTATCTATCTATCTATCTATCTATCTATCTATCTATCCGTCCGTCTATCTATCTGTCCGTCCGTCCGTCCATCCTTCTATACATCCATCCATCCATCCATCCATCCATCCATCCATCCATCCATCCATCCATCCATCCATCTATCTATCTATCTATCTATCTATCTATCTATCTATCTATCTATCTATCTATCTATCTATCTATCTATCTATCTATCTATCTATCTGTTTGTCTGTCTGTTCATCTATCTATCTATCCGTCTCTGCAGTAGGCGTGCGGTCACAGAGCACCAGCTGATGCATGACCGCGGTCGCTCCATTCAGAGTCTGAAGCGTCTGATCTGGCTGTCCAGCGCCATTGAGGGGCTTCACACTGCGCAGGCGCGAACACTGGAGCCCGACAGCAGGTGGCGCTCTCGCGGGGCGCAGCTCTACTCTCAGCCCGGCAGAGAGGAGAGCAGCGGCGGCCAGAAGAGGGCGCTGGAGACGCTGCTCAGCGACCTGTACCGGGCACACCTGACGTTCGGCCTCGGAGAACCGGAGAAATAACGCTCGATAACCCACAGAAAATCGAGCATAGACACTGACAGAACAATTCTAGATGGCTGCCATTATAAACAAGGAGTCTGTTTTATACTCATTTAACGCATTCATTGGCTTTATTGTAAGCGATCCAGTGCACATGCGCGAACGGAAGAAGCGCAAACTGATATTCACCCGCACCCGCGCTGTGTAAATCTGCATTTTAAGCCTTCTAACATGAACTACAGCATCGGTTTTGTGTGATACACGATGACTATACTATATAATAAGTAGCTAAATATTTCCCTCGGGAAAAAATACTACTGTAAGTCATACTGTGGTGTTTTTGAACCATATTATAGTAAAGCACTGGAATTAATCTGCTGTGGTGATTATACAATGGCTATAGTAACACAACAACTAGAGAAATATAAACAAATGAAACAATACCTTAGATTCCTACAACTATAAGGTATATTATAGTACAATACACCACAGTTAACTGCATTAAAAACTAAACTATACAGTAAATATCAGTAAATACAGCCTGATCTCGTGAGGAAATGTAAGTATTTTATGTATTGTCAGTTTAGTGGCTAATTCGTACAGTTATATGAAAATGTGCGATTTTAAAAAGGAGGCGTGGCACCTAACTGCACCCCTAACCCCAACCGTCATTGGGTGATGAGAAAATCGTACTAAATTGTACGATATAGATTGTATAAATTCATACGAATTAGCCACAAAATCAAAAACTTACGAATTGCCATGAGATTGTGTTGGTTAATACAGCACGCTGCAGCATTTAACAAATAGTTGTGAATATTATAAAATATACAGTGTAATACAGAATGGTTCAAAAACACTAGTGTTTACTATGAATTATTGACATATTTTAGGTGGGCTTTGTTCAAATAAGCTACCATGGTAATTGTGTATTATTTGCCAGATAGCAGAATTCAATCAACAATTAGATAGTTGAAAATTCAACGTTGAGTTTTCATCTGGGGTCCGTTCTTCGTGCGTGGATTACTCAGTTAGCTGGATTTGGTTATTGACGATTTGACACGATCCAGGATTGTTTCGATCTTCAAAACCGAGAGTTGTTGTCATTGTACCAGTTCTGGTAGCTCAAACCTGCTCAGGAGCAGGCTCATTTCATATAAACAGGATTAAAATCGGGTCAATTCAAGCTAAGGTAATATTGAAAGTATGTACCAAAGTCAGATATTTTCCTACAGTAATAACTATAGGCCCACATGAAATTTGTGTGCGCAGAATTCTGCAGATTTTCCTCAGATTTTAGCTCATCATTAATTCTGTTTATTTACTTGAGTAAATGTGTGTAGATCAATATTTTTTTCAGTTTTTAAATGAATTACAGTAATATTATTGACTAAAATGGAAATGTTCATCTGATTTATGTGCAGTGCAGTGTGTGCAGTCATGTTCTCTGTCTTTTAGTCAAGATATTATATGAGAGTCTTGCTTTGTTTACCAAATAAAGTGAATCTAATTAGATTTGCTTTTTAAACATTAAATAGAAGTTAAAAGTTTAAATTTTTTCATTTCGCATTTTTGGGGTTTTAGTTATGATACTCCAAAAATAATTTTTTACAAACCTCTGCGCAGAAATAGCAAAAAATGTCAGCAGATTCCATCTGGCCCTAGTAATGACCTATAGATTATATACCCATGGTAAAATAGTAAAACAAAAGTTTATATATACACATTTATCATTTATAATAATTAATATAATATTAAATAATAAATAATATTTATGTTTTTATACCTATACATTCAAAATATATATAAATAACGCTTCTGCAATCTGCACTCCATAATAAAAGTACAGAAACGGGGTGTTTTTTTTCCCCCGAGGGGATCAAACAGACATTTATTAATATGGATTTTTAGATATAAACGTGTACTATTTTAAGGTACTGATCCAGCTTTAGTACAACTTCTGTGTGATGATAGACATGCACAATATTCCACTGTTTTTTGTTAGTTTTTTATAAAGGAATGGTAATTTGTGCAGTCATGCACATGTTTTGACAGCTAATATGTCGGTGATTTGATGCTTTGCAAAAGTTGCAGACGCCTTTCCCAATATCAACATGCTTTTTGATGCACAACTAATTTAAATTCCTTAGAGCAATTAAGAAACTAAAATAGGCCTCGGCTACAAGAGTAAAGAAAATCTGCTCTAAATGTAAAGCTAAATAAGTTGCTGAATACTCTTGACACATGAAAGTGTAAAGCCTGCAGCTCACAACAAACATGGGAAGTTATTGCGTGTCATATTTAACAAACCGTTTACTACTAATTTTATATAATTTTGATACATGGTTAATTGAATATTAATCAGATGATGTCATTACGCTGCTGTGCCGTCAGCCAATCGTTGCATTGCTGTTCATGATTTTGGGGATGGATAGATCTGTCCTTCACAACACACGCTGATCTCAGATCAGTTCATCCAGACAATCTAATCTAATTCACGAACTTGTTTGAAGAACCAAATTAGCCAGAGATCAGATATCAAGATGAACAGATCCAGGATCTGCCAAATCATCTTAGATCATTTAAGCGAGGTACGAAGAACGGACCCCAGGTTGGCACGCTCAAATATCGTTTTCATCTAATATATAATACAGTTGAAGTCAGAATTATTCGCCTCCCTCTGAGTTTCTTTTTTAAATATTCATTTTTAAATGATGTTGAACAGATTCAGGAAATGTTCACATTATGTTTGATAATATTTTTTTTCTTCTGGAGAAAGTCTTATTTGTTTTATTTCGACTAGAATAAAAGCAGTTTCTAATTTTTTAAACACCATTTTAAGGTCAATATTATTAGCCCCTTTAAGCTTTATTTGTTTTCGATAATCTCCAGAACAAACCATCATTATACAATGACTTGCCTAATTACCCTAACTTTAACCTAATTACCCTAGTGAAGCCTTTAAATGTCTCTTTAAGCTGTATAGAAGTGTCTTAAAGAATATCTAGTCTAATATTATTTACTGTCATCATGACAAAGAGGAAATAAATCAGTTATTAGAGATGAGTTATTAACACTGTTATGATTATAAATGTGTTGGAGAAATCTGCTCTCTGATAAACAGAAATTGGGGAAAAAGTAAACAGGGGGGCGAATAATTCTGACTTCAACTGTATGTTTTATGTATGATATCTACCAGGTGTTCATCATGAATTATCAATAACCCTCACTGATATCGTTAACTTAATCACCGCATCTGTGTTCTTGAATCTTTCTATCGTTAAACAAACGTTATTTGAGGGTGCAAACCTGATGAAAACTCAACGTTAAATTTTCAACACTCCAACTGTTAATTCAATGATAATTCAATAATAATAATAAATAAATAATTTTATTTGTAAATGGAGCTTTTCTAGACACCCAAGGTCGCCTTACAATAAGCAAATAATAAATAAACAAAAACAAACAATAAAACATTACTAAACAAGCATTGACCAAACGCACATCGCCAATATAAAATAACATGATAAAAAACATGAATGGTTAAAGGAAAGCCTGCTTAAAAACATGGTCTCTAGACGAGATTTAAATGTGTCAAGACTATCACTCATCCTTAGATCCAGGGGACGTTCTGCTCTCTGGGTATCATCAGAAAGATTGAAGTATATCAATTAATTCTATTTATATGGACTGCTGATTGTGAACGTGATTAAAGGTGCTTTCATGAAACATCGCTGTACATGCCAGGTTAAATGTGGTAGTGATTATATTTGTACACCACACGCAAAATACTGCACGTTATTCATGTTGCAAAATAGTGAAGGTTGTTTATGGTTTATTGCTTCCACAAATGTAATTTATATGCAGCAGCAGGAACGGTGTTTACAGTTGAGTTTGTAGCTATTATAACAAAACTACCTGATTAATTCACAGTATGAAAGAGTGCGATGAGTATAAAATCATAAATAAAACTGAAATTGCTCAAAATCCTCCTTAATTTTGTGTAATATGCGAGTTTTCCCATCTTATATCTGTCTTGATACTGAAAACAAATCAAATACATTAAATGAAAACAGTAGCTACATTCAGATGACATGAACACAGAGATTTTCAGCGCAATTGTTTTCGATGTGATGTACTTTGTTGTTCTTGTAGTCAAAGAAAAACCTCTGTGTTGCAAAATAAACAATAAAATATGAAATGAAAAATGAAATATGAAACGTGTCCATCACAGACAAGTAAACATGAACAAAACGTAAACAAAGATGTGATTAACTCAAACATTAATTATAAAGTATAAACTCTCTTAATCATACAAGTATTCAATGAATCAGGTTCCTCTCACATACACAAACACGCTCTTCCAAGTGTGTGCGTCGACTAGCTTCATCATCCTGCAAAAAAAAAAAAGAAATAAAGTTTGGACAGTCTAACATATATTTCAGTGAAGAACATGTTGACCCAGAAGCTAAAGTAAGATGAGACCTGAATCATCAAATGAGTGCTAATGCTAGACGCTAGGATATCTGAGCTCCACACGGCGGACTGAACTCTATTAACATCTTAGATCATTTTAGTCCTTGATATTATGAGTGTTCAGAATAGCGTATACTACACTTACTATTTCAGTCGTGTCTATATTTTGAAGACAGTGTCTGCTTTTCTGAACATAGCAGCCCTCAAACAGTAGCCCTTACGGGAATGCCAGCAGCAAGAATTTGTATAATAACACAAGTTATATCAAGTAAACAACAATGTTTGTATGTGTATTTAGGGACATTTTGCCTTAAAATTTAACTTAAAGAATCCTATTATAACTATTTTTGTCTGTTTCATCCTGCTAAATCAGCTTTAATTGAAGGTAAATAATGTAAAACATTTTTATTATGTTGCTGTTATCTAAATGTACAATTTTCTTTGTAACTTTTTTTAAATAAGCCTTTGCGGCTCTATTTGCTGATGTTTTTTTCTTTGCAGCTGTCACAATAGTACAAGAACATCCTGCTTCAATACATGTGACATCAAAAAAGGCTACAAAAGTAATCTAAATGTAATCCATAAGTAGTCAAACTGCATTAGATAAAAGTAATCTAAGTGTAACCCAACAGTAGTCAAATTACGTTACCATAAACGTAATCTAAATGTTATTCAAAAGTAGTCAACTTGTGTAACAATAAAAGTAATCTAAATGTAATCCAAAAAGTCAAATTAATTCAACATAAAGGTAATATAAATGTAATCCAACAGTAGTCAAATCACTGTACCATAAAGGTAATCTAAACATAATCCAAAAGTAGTCAAATTATGCTATTATAAAGTAATCTAAATGTAATCCAAAAGTAGTCAAATTACGCTACCATAAAGTAATCTAAAAGTAGTCAAATTGTGTTACAATAAAAGTAATCTTTGTGTAATCCAACAGTGGACAAATTACGCTACCATAAAGGTAAACTACATGTAATCCAAAAGTAGTCAAATTGTGTTACAATAAAAGTAATCAAAATGTAATCCAAAAAATCTAATTACTTTACCATGAAGGTAATCTAAATGTTATCCAAAAGCTGTCAAATTATGCTATCATAAAATAATCTATGTGTAAATGTAATCCAAAAATAGTCAAATTACATTACCATAAAGTAATCTAAATGTAATCCAAAAGCAGTCAAATTACGTTACCATAAAGTAATCTAAATGTAATCCAAAAGTAGTCATTTGCACTTCCATAAAGGTAATCTAAATACAATCCAACAGTAGTTATATTATGCTATTAAAGGTGTTGAAGGTAATTTAAATGTAGTCTAACAGTAGTCAAATTACTCCACCTTCAATGTAATCTAAATGTAGCCCAAAAGTTATCAATTTACGCTACTTTAAAAGTAATCTAAATGTAATCCAAATGTAGACAAATTACTACCTTTACAATAAAATTAATATAAATGTAATTTAACAGTAGTCCAATTATTCTACCTTTAGGTTAATCTAAATGTAATCCAAAAGTAATCAATTTATGCTATTATAAAAGTAATCTAAATGTAATCCAAAAGTAGTCCATTTACTTTACCATAAAGGTAACCTAATGTAATCTAACAGTAGTCAAATGACTCTATCATAAAGGTAATCCAAATGTAATCTAGACGTAATGAAATTATGCTACTATAAAAGTAATCTAAATGTAATCCAAATGTAGACAAATTACTCTACCATAAAAGCAATATAAATGTAATCTAACAGTAGTCAACATACTCTATCATAAAGGTAATCTAAATGTAATACAAAGGTCATCAAATTATGCTACTATAACAGTAACCTAAATGTAATCCAAAAGTAGTCCATTTACTTTACCATAAAGGTAATCTAAATGTAATCTAACAGTAGTCAAATGACTCTATCATCAAGGTAATCTAAATGTAATCCAAAAGTGGTCAAATTACTCTACCATACAGGTAATCTAAAAGTATCTTTTATCAGGTAATTTGTAATCAGTAACTTCACAAGTAATCCACCCAGCTCTGCAAATGTGCTCGATCTCTTACATCACTGCAGGATGTCGGCCAGTTTGTCCTGGTAGTACTCGTAGTTCTCCTGACAGTCCTCCCAGGGTGTGAACTGCTGTTCGTCGCTCTCCACGAACGTGTCCCAGGTGTAGGTGAAATCCAGCGGCTTCATCATGCGCAGTTTGCAGCCGACGGACGCTAGTAGCTTCAGCCCTGCCTGGATCTCAGGCTCCTCCCACTCGAACAGCCGCGACGAAAAGATGGCCAGCCGGATGTTCTTCCTGGAGCGCAGGATCTCCGCCAGCTTGGTTGCGCAGTTGGCGCAGGGACTGGAGGACATGTACCAGGTGATGGTGTATTTGCAGGCCGGGTCGTAGTTGGTCAGGATCTGCTGGAAAAAGGCTTCCTCTGCGTGTCCGCCAGCGTGCTCGTCCTCAATGTAGCCCCTCATCAGGCCTTCGCCGCCGTGGTCCACCAGGTAACACAGGAAGGTTTTATTCCGGCCGGACGAGTACTCCACGTTCTTGAACTGGAACTTGAAGAAAAACGGGTCCATGCGATCCCTGCGGACACACAAGGCAGAGGATTGATGAGGCAGTTTGCTCAAAACACTCAAAATGATCTGTTTACAATGAGCTGAAACAGCTCAAATCTTACACTTATACTGTTTATTTGTCAGATGCACTGACATTTATAATTAAGCAGATGCTTGAATAACAGTAAATACATGACATGTGGAATATACAGCATAATCTGCTGGATTTAAACATACAGAATAATAATGGATAGAGTTATGTAAACAACAAAAAAACCAAGCAAAACAAGTTAACCTAAAGCCTGTAAGAAAACAAAATGTACGATGTTTGGTTCGCCAGCGCACAGTTATTCTTTAGGTGAACAACTAATTTGTGCAAGTTAATACACTGAAAATAATGCTTGTTTTGGTAATCTTCGATCTGATCGTCTGCTTCTGACTGGCTCCTTCTCTGATGATGTCAGTTTGAGCTTCAGACACAATATTCAATATTCCTATACATGAGGGAATGATGCACAAATAGAAAGCCCCGCCCTCTACTCAATATTCAGATTCAGTTGGAAGCACATCAACATACTGAATTAAAGGTCTCAGCAGCTTCTGGTTCATGTGGTCTTCAATGGTTCTGTATTGGAATAGCATGAACAATCTACATGAACCCTTTATCAAACGAGGAACCACTTATATTGTAACTTAATTTACATTGATTATAATATCATTTTTCTTAAATTAAAAAAGTTCAATAGTGTTTAAAACACTTCAAGGTATTTCCGATTGCAATAAAAAAATGTGTAATACAGGTAATAATAGGTGTTTCAAACAAAGATAAACAGACCAGTTTGAGGCCATTTGCCTCAAACTAATTTTTCTGTTCCAATGCTACTTTTTCATAGTTTTTCTATGTAAATGTGTCTTTTACAGCATGTTTCAAGTTAAAAAATTTAAGGTTTACATCAACCCAGGATCTTTCTAATTATGTACCCCTATATATTATTCTGGAGAGCGCCAAATATATCCCAGGAGCTAAGTTTTTTTGCAGCGAATCCGCCAGAGGCTGCTGTGTACAGTTTTTCAGCCTAACTGACCGACTTACTGACTGATCAAGCGACCGATGACCCCACCAATAACCCAACCAATAGGGTTTTAAAAAGCATGGATTGACCAGCCCACCCCCTTTCCTAAACCCAACCAATAGTGTTGTAAAAAGCACAGATTAACCCGCCCACCCCCTTCTCTAAACCCAACCAATAGTGTTTTAAAAAGCACAGATTAACCTGCCCACCCCCTTCTCTAAACCCAACCAATAGTGTTTTAAAAAGCACAGATTGACCCGCCCACCAACCTTCCCTAAACCCAACCAATAGTGTTTTAAAAAGCACAGATTAACCTGCCCACCCCCTTCTCTAAACCCAACCAATAGGGTTTTAAAAAGCACGGATTGACCAGCCCACCCCCTTTCCTAAACCCAACCAATAGTGTTGTAAAAAGCACAGATTAACCCGCCCACCCCCTTCTCTAAACCCAACCAATAGTGTTTTAAAAAGCACAGATTAACCTGCCCACCCCCTTCTCTAAACCCAACCAATAGGGTTTTAAAAAGCACGGATTGACCAGCCCACCCCCTTTCCTAAACCCAACCAATAGTGTTGTAAAAAGCACAGATTAACCCGCCCACCCCCTTCTCTAAACCCAACCAATAGTGTTTTAAAAAGCACGGATTGACCCGCCCACCCCCTTTCTTAAACCCAACCAATAGTGTTTTAAAAAGCACAGATTGACCCGCCCACCAACCTTCCCTAAACCCAACCAATAGTGTTTTAAAAAGCACAAATTGACAAACCCATCCCCTTTCTTAAACCCAACCAATAGTGTTTTAAAAAGCACAGATTGACCCGCCCACCAACCTTCCCTAAACCCAAACAATAGTGTTTTAAAAAGCACAAATTGACCAGCCCATCCCCTTTCTTAAACCCAACCAATAGTGTTTTAAAAAGCACAGATTGACCCACCCACCCCCTCCCCTAAACCCAACCAATAGTGTTTTAAAAAGCACAGATTGACCCGCCCACCCCCTTCCCTAAACCCAACCGATAATGTTGTAAAAAGCACAGATTGACCCGCCCACCAAACTTCCCTAAACCCAACCAACAGTATTTTAAAAAGCATAGATTGGGTCTTTCCCGAGGCCTTCTTCCGGTGGGACATGCCTGGAACACCTCCCAAGGTAGGCATCCAGGAGGCATCCACAACAGATGCCTGAGCCACCTCAGCTGACTTCTCTGGATGTGGGGGAGCAGCGACTCTACTCTGGCTATCTCCACTATTAGAGCTCCTCACCCTATCACCAGTGCGCCCTGCCACCCTTCGAAGGAAACTTATTACGGCCGCTTGTATCCGAGATCTTGTCCTTTCAGTCATGACCCAAAGCTCATGACCATAGGTGAGAGTAGGAACGCAGATTGACCGCTAAATCGAAAGCTTTGCCTTTCAGCTCAGCTCCTACTTTACCACAACGGAGCGGTAGCATTACGGCTCCTGCTGCACCAATCCGCCAGTCAATCTCACGCTCCATCCTAAATGTGTCTTAATTATACAGCAGCATTCTTTAAGTTAGGAATATTTATTAATTACTAAGTCTCAGATGCTAAATCCACAGTTGAGATGTTGTGTTTGAGAGTTTATTAGTCCTCCTGTGTGCAGCACTAGTGTCCTCCACATCTCCTCCTTCTGTTTTGTCCTGATGTGATGTCTGACTGTTGTAGCCGTGTGATAACTCTAATCATTCAGCGGAGTGATATATGGAGCTGTAATGCACTCTAAACCTGCCGGAACTACTTTAGCTGTGCCTTTATCTGACATCACCCTAACACCTGAGAGTGACCACCAGCCAATCTACAATATAAAGCAGGCATAAAGTGTTCTCAGCAGTGGTCTGAAGGGGGTTTCTGTGGTTGTTTTTAACAGCTCCTTCACAGGCTGACAGATGGAAGGGCTGTTAGGGTTATAAATATCCCCAGCGGGGGCAGATCTTTATTCTTGGCGTCTGACCCATATACAGAACAGCTCAGGAGGCATTGTCTGCGTTGGCTGCCAGATGAACCTGATGCAGCCGTGATGGGCACCTGCTACTCGATGATCCACAACAATTTCGCAGCTTTAATGTGTCTGTAAAACTCGGCTCATCAGCACTGGCTCATCAAACACACATTTGGGCTCATGAATGCCAGTCGGAAATGGAAAAGCCCAAACCAAAGGTCAATTAAAGACTCTCAATCAGTTTCCAAAGCTGAGTTTACACACAGGCAGGCAGGCAGGCTAGTTTATTTATAAAGCAGAATTCATGCACAATGCTCATTCAGTTCATGCTTTACATATCTGAAATGGAAGCACTTTAGTTTAGGTAACAATTTACACCATTTACTACTGGTGTACTGCCTGCCTATTATCCAGATATTAATGTTGTATTAGCACTATTAAAGTATGATCTTACTCTACATCACTAACACCCTATTCACACGGGGCGTAAACGCTTGACAGAGGGCGTGTCTGAAGATGGGGCAAAGGCAATCGTCATAGCAGCATCAACCAATGAAATTCAGTCAGCAATAGGCCACTGTCTAGCTGGTGTATTTGCATATAGCGATCTGATTGGCTGACGCTTCCATCTGTGCTTGAAAAGTTGAGCTAGTCCCAACTTCTGCAGCGAGCAAAGCCTCTGAAGTGGCGCCGACGGATCTACAATGCAGTTCAGCAACGCCTGACGTCACCGATTCAAAGTGAATGGGAAGTGTTGACGCAGACGCCCCTTGTGAATGGGCGTAATCCTAGCCAGGGCAGCATAGTGGCTCAGTGGTTAGCACTGTGGCCTCACAGCAAGGAAAGTCGCTGGTTCGAGTCCCGGCCGGGTCAGTTGGTGTTTCTGTGTGGAGTTTGCATGTTCTCCCCGTGTTGGCGTGGGTTTCCCCCAAGTGCTCCGGTTTCCCCCACAGTCCAAACACATGCGCTATAGGGGAGTTGATGAACTAGGTTGTGAATGGGTGTTTCCCAGGCCATTAGTTTTGTTTAGTTTCTGCTACACTTGTGGGTTTTAAAACAAACGGCATCTAAGAAGACTTCTGGCGTAATCTCAAGGACTTCATTTCAGTGTTCTTTATGTCGAGGGAATCTTCTGTTATTTTTACCTTTAATGTTTTGGAGATCAGCGAGGTTGCAAGTTGCTGTGTGTGTGTGTGTGTGTTTCCCGAAGCAGCAGATGTATGTTGTTAGGTTATTTTTAAGAGTGTGTTCTTGAGAGCGGCAGCAGACAGCGGGTCACATCACAGCCTGTCAGACGCAGCCGTCCTGCTGGGGGCTGGGCTGAGTTTATCTGCTCCATTCCACCTGAACCAACACACATTCCCCAATACACACACGGAGAAACACACACCAGCCCTGAGCGCTCTACAACTGCATGGAGAAACCTGAACGGCACAATGAAATCCAAATCTACTCTTCTTATTGCTATATTTGTATTATAAACAATGTATCTGTGCACTTCGTTATTGTGTAAAAAATCCTTTGCCTTCAGAATATTAAATCATATATCATAACCTTCCCTTTCCCTCGCAATCACTGTTCTTCACTTCCTGGTCACATGGAAGGCCTTCAGGGTGGAGCTATCAGTGCATTAGGGCGGGGTTACCATTGCTGGATTGCGGGACTAGCAATGCTTTAGGGCGGGACTAATGTTGGTCTGCAGATATAAATGTGTGTGTGAGGGTCTTTGTGTCATTAATGTTGGTCTGCAGATATAAATGTGTGTGTGAGGGTCTTTGTGTCATTAATGTTGGTCTGCAGATATAAATGTGTGTGTGTGAGGGTCTTTGCGTCATTAATGTTGGTGTGCAGATATAAATGTGTGTGTGAGGGTCTTTGCGTCATTAATGTTGGTGTGCAGATGTAAATGTGTGTGTGAGGGTCTTTGTGTCATTAATGTTGGTCTGCAGATATAAATGTGTGTGTGAGGGTCTTTGTGTCAGTAATGTTGGTCTGCAGATATAAATGTGTGTGTGAGGGTCTTTGCGTCATTAATGTTGGTCTGCAGATATAAATGTGTGTGTGAGGGTCTTTGCGTCATTAATGTTGGTGTGCAGATATAAATGTGTGTGTGAGGGTCTTTGGGTCATTAATGTTGATCTGCAGATATAAATGTGTGTGTGAGGGTCTTTGCGTCATTAATGTTGGTGTGCAGATATAAATATGTGTGTGAGGGTCTTTGCGTCATTAATATTGGTCTGCAGATATAAATGTGTGTGTGAGGGTCTTTGTGTCATTAATGTTGGTCTGCAGATATAAATGTGTGTGTGAGGGTCTTTGCGTCATTAATGTTGGTGTGCAGATATAAATGTGTGTGTGAGGGTATTTGCGTCATTAATGTTGGTCTGCAGATATAAATGTGTGTGTGAGGGTCTTTGTGTCATTAATGTTGGTCTGCAGATATAAATGTGTGTGTGAGGGTCTTTGCGTCATTAATGTTGGTCTGCATATATAAATGTGTGTGTGAGGGTCTTTGCGTCATTATTGTTGGTCTGCAGATATAAATGTGTGTGTGAGGGTCTTTGTGTCATTAATGTTGGTCTGCAGATATAAATGTGTGTGTGTGAGGGTCTTTGTGTCATTAATGTTGGTGTGCAGATATAAATGTGTGTGTGGGGGTCTTTGTGTCATTAATGTTGGTCTGCAGATATAAATGTGTGTGTGAGGGTCTTTGTGTCATTAATGTTGGTCTGCAGATATAAATGTGTGTGTGAGGGTCTTTGTGTCATTAATGTTGGTCTGCAGATATAAATGTGTGTGTGAGGGTCTTTGCGTCATTAATGTTGGTGTGCAGATATAAATGTGTGTGTGAGGGTCTTTGTGTCATTAATGTTGATCTGCAGATATAAATGTGTGTGTGAGGGTCTGTGTCATTAATGTTGGTCTGCAGATATAAATGTGTGTGTGAGGGTCTTTGTGTCATTAATGTTGGTCTGCAGATATAAATGTGTGTGTGAGGGTCTTTGTGTCATTAATGTTGGTCTGCAGATATAAATGTGTGTGTGAGGGTCTTTGTGTCATTAATGTTGATCTGCAGATATAAATGTGTGTGTGAGGGTCTTTGTGTCATTAATGTTGATCTGCAGATATAAATGTGTGTGTGAGGGTCTTTGTGTCATTAATGTTGGTCTGCAGATATAAATGTGTGTGTGAGGGTCTTTGTGTCATTAATGTTGGTCTGCAGATATAAATGTGTGTGTGAGGGTCTTTGCGTCATTAATGTTGGTCTGCAGATATAAATGTGTGTGTGAGGGTCTTTGTGTCATTAATGTTGGTCTGCAGATATAAATGTGTGTGTGAGGGTCTTTGTGTCATTAATGTTGGTGTGCAGATATAAATGTGTGTGTGAGGGTCTTTGTGTCATTAATGTTGGTCTGCAGATATAAATGTGTGTGTGAGGGTCTTTGTGTCATTACTGTTGGTGTGCAGATATAAATGTGTGTGTGAGGGTCTTTGCGTCATTAATGTTGGTCTGCAGATATAAATGTGTGTGTGAGGGTCTTTGCGTCATTAAGTATTGTGATGTATTCTTCTTCTTCTAATATTATTCTTTCCAGAACTGTCTTGAGCATCTGTCTGCACTCTCGCCTCCAGAAGTCACCACATTCACCACGTTCATTGCGTTTGGTCTTGGTCTTATGAGGCGCAGCTCATTTATTAGAGAACTAAGACCACAGTGGAAAATCCCAACAGTGAAGCAGACTCCACTCCTCTCAGTGAAATCAGTGCACGTTTAACAGGAGCTGAGGAGTTTGTTTCTCAGTGGATGGTAACTTTAATTTGTATGTAAGCTGTAGACTCACCCTGTGATGGTCTCGAATGGCGGCAGCTCTATAGGTTCTGGTTTTTCTCCGTCTGCAGCAGCAGCTCCGGCCTCTCCGTTCTCCATCGGCACTTCTTTCCCGTTCACTTCGGGTTTCTCCGCTTCTGTTGGGCTTTTCTCCTCTTTCTTGGCATCATTTTCTGCCTTTTCCTTCCTCCTGACGCTCAGACGAGAGCTGACGCCGCTGCTGCCCTTTCTATCGGCCATCTCTGAAACTAAACACACACACACACACACCTCAGTATTTATAACAGCACTAGAGTGTGTGTGTGTGTGTGTGTGTGCAGCTGTCGGTCAGTTCTATTAAAAGACCTTCTGGCCTTCGAGATGATAGATAAATGAAATCTTACACAGACAAAGGTCTTGCGCGCTTCTCTTTTAAATGCTGAAATATGTTTATCGCAGCTTATGAAATAAAACATCTCTGCTTTACTAGTTTAACGTCACTTCCAAACTAATATTAGAGTGATCACAGACGATTTATTAATGTAGTTCACTTTACTGTGGCCTCACAGTAAGAAGGTCGCTGGTTCAAGTCCCGACTGGGTCAGTTGGTGTTCCTGTGTGGAGTTTGCATGTTCTCCCCGTGTTGGCGTGGTTTTTTTCCGGGTGCTCCGGTTTCCCCCAAAGTCTAAACACATGCGCTATAGGGGAACTGATCAACTAAACTGTAGTGTATGAGTGTGAATGAATGAGTGTGTATGGGTGTTTCCCAGCTGGAAGGGCATGAGCTGCATAAAACATATGCTGGATAAGTTGGCGGTTCATTCCACTGTGAATTTCCCTGATAAATAAAGGAAAATGAATGAAAAAATTTAACTAATGTTGTTTGTCCATATTTGACCCAGTGTTACAACAACCCAGCGCTGTGTATAATCGAAATATGTAAAAAGCGTCCCAAACTTTGATAGGAAGCACAAGCCACAATGATTTATAAAATATAAATATAAAAAAACACATCAGGAAACATTTTTATTGTTCAAATGTAGTTTGTTTGTTGCTCAAGAAACTTAATATTGCGCTCTAAAAATGCTGGGTTGTTGTAAGTAACCCAATGTTGTATTAAATGTGAACAAAACCCTACCCCAGACCAACATTTGGGTTAAAAAGTGTCATTTAAATTCAATTGTTAAAAAAAAATGTATACGAGGTTAGGTTTGTTCATATTTGACCCAATATTGTGTAACAATAACCCAGCTTTTTTAGAGTGTGAATTAAAATGTCGTTTTTTATTTTTTGTCTATAATTGCATTAATTGTATTTTTCTTTGTTTGAGTTAGTTTAGTACATAAAGGTAAACTAAGAAACTGATTTGCTACCTAAGATGCAATTAATATACATTTTTAAGATTTAAGAGTGTTACATAGATAACCCAGGTAGCTTTTTAAAATTAATATTGTATATGCTGAATATTTAACAATAAAAATCATAACAAAATCTCGCAATTATTGCAAAAAATATTTTTTTTTAATAAAATAAAATTCAAAATAATAAACCAGAAGGATATGCGTTAGTATTTACAAGAGAGGAATTTACTTGTTTGATTATATTATTACTGAACGCCGTCTGTCAGTGGCGTCATTTAGAAACGTGAGGCGCATGCGCACTCGCAGGATAAACTGCTGTCAATCATCGGCTTTGACGCTGTCAGTTTCTTGAGGCGATGATAAACGACAATAAACAGCGCTATTGTTTGCAGTAAATCCAAAAACCCTTCGTGTAGTGTTTGGTTTGATGACAGATGACCGAGTTCGCTTTAATGGTTTCAGTTTTCTGTAAAGTTGCTTATAATACAGTTGTTACCGTAAACTGTCACTGTGTGTCGCTATTGGTTACAGATTAACCGCGAGTTTTACCTCACTTCATAAAGTGTTCATATTCAGCTTACTAATCGACTTTTTATTTATAAAAAGCGTATTAAAAAGTACATAAATTGTCTACTCTAATGTTTTAAATATACGTTTGTGACAAAAATATAATGTGGATATAACAAACAATTAAAACAAGCATGTCGGTAGCTAATTCATAATGGAAGTTATATTCGTTTTAATCAAATCGTAATTAGTCGTCAGGGTCTCTAATAGTCATTATTTGTCTTTAAGTGGCATGATAAAACCAACTGTTAACTCCTGGCGGTAATTAAAGGATTTTATGTCTATTTCTAAAGGTTTTAATGGTTGATTAATAAAACCCCTGGTCCCACTTTATATTAAGTGGCCTTAACTACTACTTACATCAAAAAATAAATACAATGTACTTACTGTGTTCATAATGTATTTGAGAACACTTGTGGTGCTTTTGAGTTGGAATAGAGGTTGGGTTATGGACAGGTTTGGTGGCATGGGTAGGTTTAAGGGTGGGTTAAGGTGTAAGGGATAGTCAACAGTGTATTTACAAATGTAATTACAAAAGTTAACTACAGATGTAACTACATACATGTATTTAATCAAGCGTAAGTACACAGTAAATACATGTATTCACACAATAAGTACATTGTAACAAACTATTAATACCTATGTAAGTACATATTAGTTAAGGCCACTTAATATAAAGTGGGACCAAACTACAAAGGAAAACTTCTAAAACTCTTAACTCATCACACTAAAGTCAGTGCTGTACTTGCCTGATTTCTCCACAAGGTGGCAGGAGTTCCACACCGATGGTTTCCGGTGTGTTTACCTCTGTGAACTTCATTAACTAACCCATTAATGGAGTCTGGAGCAGTTATTAACCCAGTGCTTGTGAATTGAGCCGCAGGAATTTCTCGTGTGTGTGTCTGTGTGTGTGTGTGTGTGTGTGTGTGTGTGTGTGTGTGTGTGTGTGGTTGATTAATATATTTTCATTAACATAACGGGTGAAATAAAGTTCCATTGTTGTAGAGTGTAACATATTTGTTATGCATATATATATATATATATATATATATATATATATATATATATATATATATATATATATATATATATATATATATATATATATAACAGAATAAGCAATACTAAATGCGAGTGTGACGTGAAAAAAGGATAACGCCTGGTGGCTTAAATGATGTAATAGTAAAGTATAAAACATTTAGATGAACATTATGAATATTTTGGGGCCAAAACTGTAATCCCTCATTAGGTTTTTAATTATGTTTGGCTGATTAATACAAAAAATGAAAAATAAATAAAAAAATATGATAGAAAAAAAGTATTCAAATATAAGATAAACACAATGAATAAAAGACATCAAAATCTTTTCCTAAAACAAGCTGACAAAAAATTAATACATTTAATACAATTTTAGACCAGAAATGCTGGGTTTTTGTAATCCAACACTGGTTCAAATATGGACAAACCCATCATCATTTATCAATTAAATTTAAATGACACTTTTTATCCCAAATAGTTTTGTTCATATTTTACCCAATGTTGGGTTACTTAAAACGTTTGGAGCGCAAGTTTCTCAAGTGTCATCAAATGATTCTTGTTCTAAATACCTGCTGTATTTTATTTTAAATTCATTCTTATAGTCTTGTTTACTTTGTATTAAGTGAATTGTACTATAAAAATATTGCCTCAGAACATATTGTGAAACTGTAATGAACATGATGATCAAATTCATTGGTTAAATTACATTTTAGGGTATTTTCAACATAATAAAGTAAAAACTCATGACAGCACTACCAATTCCTCCTGGTACTTTTTAAAATAGGTAAAACTACCAAGGAAAACTTCTAAAACTCATAACTCATCACACTAAAGTCAGTGCTGTAGTTGCCGGATTTCTCCACAAGGTGGCAGGAGTTCAACACCGATGGATTCCGGTGTGTTTACCTCAGTGAACTTCATTAACTAACCCATTAATGAAGTCTGGAGCAGTTATTAACTCAGTGCTTGTGAATTAAGCCGCAGGAATTCCTCGCTGTCCGACTGACCTTCATGCGTTACTAGATGTGGTCAATGTATAACCGAATAAACACAGCAGGGGCTTCCCAACCTCTTACACTGCTCGAACTCCAGATAATTACAATAACAACCTCAAGCTGCAGCTGATGGAAAGTTTTATGTGAAATAATGGAGTTATTTCAATTACTTATGATCAGATTTAGCTCACTCTAGTCTCTTTATCATCATAATACGACCTCAGGAGATGAATATCTCAAATGATGAAACGAAAATGTGCCTTGAAGTTTGACCTTTTTAAATGTGAGCTCTATATCGGCTGATCTAATATTGTTTTTCTCTCCTCTACCAAACAGCTGATTGTATTTACTCATGATCTTATCTCTTCTGAAGAAGCGGCCAGCATCTTAAGTCTGGAGAAAACAAAGAGCTTTTATATATGCCTCAGCAGTTCAAGCGTTCTCTGGAAAACCACATCACACTGGAGATTTGGCCATTTCTGCTTTAAGAGTAACAGATGACGTGTCGTTGATTTATTATCAAAACACACTGCTAAAAATGCATTCTTACTTAGAGTTTTTTCGTCTTTTTCCAGTCTAAATATCTAAAAACTCTTAAATCAAGAAGTATTTTCTAGGCTAGCAAAAAAAAGTCGAGTTCTTCTTTAAAAACAGCAAATTATGTGCCAATGGGGTAAGCAAGATCATCTGATCTCAAAACGAAAAGCAAGATTATTTTGCTTACCCCATTTGCAGATTTATTTGTACATTAAATCATGTACATTTTTGGGGACAACTTAATTTTGTGTCCAAAACAATTTAATTAGCAAAAACAGTGTAGTTAATTAAGTCACTTTGATAAAATTGTGTGGAGCCCTGCATTATTTAAAGTGTACTTTTCTGAGCCAAATAAATAAAAAAACAATGTCAACCTCTGTCACCTCTGACCTCTGTCAAAACCTCTGCGCAACCTCTGATTGCGATTGGCAGTTGCGGCTCTCGTCATTAGTGTTTATTTTCAGCTCCAGCTTCAGCTAACAGCACTTACACAGATAAAGATAACAGTAAAGGCCTCATCTGATCAGTCAGATTTGGATAAACAAGCAATAAAACGAACTTGATTTATTACACTTCACTGCAATATGGATATCGCATTTACTATTATTGCAATAAAACTATATGACACATATAGAGCTGCTCATGAGTGAAAACGCATCTCGATGTCAGGCACAGATGTGGCGCTGCATAAACTCATGATTGACTGAACATAATTGGACTTGATGCACTTAATTTACTGCACTTCTCTGCGATATGAATTTTGAAAATACTATTATCGCAATAACGATATTTTTTCAATATATCGTGCCGACCTAGTCCACTATAATACGAAAGCAAAACAACCCAATGTGAAACTGTATATAGAGTCGCTCATTGGTGAAACCGCATCTCGATGTCAGGCCTAAATGTTGCACTACATAAACCCATGATTGACTGAACTTAATTGGACTTGATAAACTTAATTTATTACAAGTCTCTGCAAAATGGATATTACAACTACTATTATCTTGATAACGATATTCCTCTGATATATCGTGCACACCTAATCCAACGCAATACAAACGCAAAGCAACCCAATGTGAAACTATATATAGAGTCGCTAATTGGTGAAAATGCATCTCGACTTGATTAAACTTAAACTCTTACATTTCTCTGGGATCTGCATATTAAATACACTATTATCGCGATAATCAAATATCGATTTTTGATTTTCGTGAACTTCATTTATTGTACTTTTCTGCGATTTGGATATTGCATATACTATTATCACAATATTCAGTAAGCTACACTGTCCATATGCGTGTAAATGAGAGTGTATGGGCGTTTCCCAGTGATGGGTTGCAGCTGGAAGTGCATCCGCTGCGTAAAACATATGCTGGATAAGTTTGCAGATCATCCCACTGAGGCGACCGCAGATTAATAAACGGACTAAGCTGAAAAGAAAATGAATGAATGAATGAATGATCGCAATATTTTTTCGATAAATTGTGCAGACCTCGTTCAATGCAATATGAACGCAAACTAACCCAATGTGAAACTATATATAGAGTCGCTCATTTTTGAAAACGCATCTCGATGTCACTCATAAATGTGGCTCTACAGAAACTCATGATTAACTGACTTGATTGAACTTCACAAACGCAATTTATTGCGCTTCTCTGCTATATGCATATTGAATATACTATTATTACGATAGCAATATTCTTTTTCGATACATCGTACAGATTTAATCCAATGCAATACAAACTCAATCCAATCCAGTGTGAAACTATATATAGAGTCTCTCATTGGCCAAAATGCATCTCAATGAGCGACTCTATATGTAGTTGGGTTGGTTTATCGAAATAATATCAATATTGCAACAATAGTATTTTCAATATCCATATCGCAGAGAAGGACAATAAATTAGGTTCATTACATTTACTCAAGTCAATCAATCATGAGTTTATGTCGCGCCACATTTATGCCAGACATCGAGATGCAAGTTTACTTACTTATTGGGTGGGTTTGCATTTGTATTGCATTGGACTAGGTCTGCACAATTTATCTGAGAAATATTATTATCGCGATAATAGCTTTTCAATATCCATATGGTAGAGAAGTGTAATAAATTAAGTTCACAATAAATAAATCAAGATTTGCGTATGCTATTATTGTGATAATGATGTTTTACCGATATATCGTGCAGACCTAGAAATGCAATACGAATGCAAACCAACCCAACAGAAACGCTCATAGGTAAAAAAAAAAAAAAATGCATCGCAAAATCTGAAGATTGATTAAACTTAACTGGATTTAATTAACTAAATTTGGTCAAATTTGCATAAATAAGCAATAAAATGCACATAAAATTAATTTAATTTATTGCACTTTTCTGCGATATGGATATTGAATATATTATTATCACGATAACAAAATTATTATGATAAATCGTAGAGACCTAATCCAATCTACTACAAAACGTTTTTTTTATTTGTCTTATTGGAATGATTTGCTTACATATTAGATTGGATTAGGTCTCCACGATATATTGAAATAATATCATTATCGTGATAAAAGTATATTCAATATCCATATCGCAGAGAAGTGCAATAAATTAGGATCATTAAGTTTAGTCAAGTTAATCAATCATGAGTTTATGTAGCGTCACATTAATGCCTGGCATCGAGATGTATGTTTACTTATGAGCTACTCTATTGGGTAGCTTTGCGTTTGTATAGCATTACTAGGTCTGCACGATATATCAGAGAAATACTGTTATCGCGATAATAAAATATATAATATCCATATCACAGAGAAGTGTAATAAATTAAGTTCTCAATAAATAAGTTAAGATTAGCATATGCTATTATCGCGATAACGATATTTATCCGATATACAGACCTAGTAATGCAATACGAATGCAAACCAATCCTATAGAGTCGCTCATAAGTGAAAATGCAGCTCGATATCTCATGATTGACTAAACTTAACTGGACTTAATGAACTTAATTTGTTCAAATTTGCATAAATAAGCAATGAAATGCAAATAAAATAAATTTATTGCACTTCTCTGCGATGTGGATATTGAATATACTACTATCGTGATAACGATATTTTTGTGATATATTGTGGAGACCTAAGCTATTGCAATACAAACGCAAACCAATCCAATATAAAACTCTATATAGAGTCGTTCATTGGTAAAACGCATCTCGACGTCAGGTATAAATGTGGCGCTACATAAACTCATGATTAATTGAACTTAACTGGACGATAAACTCAATTTGGTCAAATTTGCATAAATAAGCAATGAAATGTAACGTAATTTATTGTACTTCTCTACGATATGGATATTGAATATGGTATTATCGCAATAACGATATTATTTCAATATCATGCAGACCTAGTCCAATCAAACCCAGTGTGAAACTACATATAGAGTCGCTCACTGGTGAAAACACATCTCGATGTCAGGCTTAAATGTGGCGCTACATAAACTCACGACTGATTGACTTGATTGAAAATGTTGACACTTTCTCCTCTATAGAGCGAGCGCTTAATCAACATCACGTTAAACAAGGCTAAGAGAGTTCGTGTGTGTGTGTGTGTGTGTGTGTGTGTGTGTGTTTGACACCTCATGGAAAGTCCTGCGGTCTGATTTCTCTTCGAACCTGTTCATTTACATTCCAAGACGTCTTTTCTTTACCGCTCATTCTCGTGACGTTGACAAGAAGCGGAAAAAAGTCCGCAGTTATATCAGCAGTAAAATACGTGAAAAGAATAACATGGAAAAACCTAAATCTGGATCACACACCGCTGCTATTTATAGCTCCAATTGTGCAAAAATAGAAGTGTCAACATGGCTATAGTGTGTGTAATAGCTGAATATGCTGTGGTATTTACTCTGATGATGAACAGTGTTGCACAACGCAACCCTTCCACTGAAGTCCAGCTCTTCAAAACGTCCATATTCAGAGTTCACAATGACGGAGAAGTGTTGATCACCTCACATCTACAACTAAAGCACTCAGCCATGTGTGGAGACGCAAAATAAACACACAGAAACAGCACCAAACCGAAACCTGTTACACACACACACACACACACACACACCAGATGGTAAATATTGACAGAAATGACTTCATCCCTCCAGGACGGGTTGAGAGAATAGGTCAATGTGTGTGTGAAGTGTGTGTGCGTGTGTGTGTGTGTGTGTGTGTGAGCGAGCGAAAGAAGGGGGGGTGGGTGTATATGAAGTGTGTGTGTGTATGTGATGTGAGGTGTGTGTATGTGTGTTTGGAGGGGCTGTGTGCATGTGTGAAGCGTGTGTTTGTGTGGTGTGCTGTGTGTGTGACAGAAAGAGTGTGTGTAATATAGGTGGTGTGAGGTGTGTGTGCATGGTTGGTGTGAGTGTGTGTCTGGTGTGCAGTGTGTGTGTGTTTGGGGGGGGGGGTGGTGTGTGGGTTGAGTGGGTGTACTTGAGGTGTGTGAGTGTGATTGCATGTGTGTGTGTTGGGATGTGCATGAGGTGTGTGTGTATGTGTGTGTGTGTGAGCGAGCGAAAGAAGGGGGGGTGGGTGTATATGAAGAGTGTGTGTGTATGTGTGTGTATGTGTGTGTGTGTGTGTGCGGGTGTATGTGTGTGTGTGTATGTGTGTGTGTGTGTGTGTGTATGTTTTGGGGTGGGCTGTGCGTGTGTTTGTGATTGCGTGTTTGTGTTGGTATGTGCATATGAGTTGTGTGTGTGTGTGTGTGTGTGTGTGTGTGTGTGTGTGTGTTAATGATTGTGTGTGTATGTGTGTGGTGTGCAGTGTGTGTCTGTGTTTGGGAAGATTGTGTGTGTGTGTGTGTGTGTTAATGATTGTGTGTGTATGTGTGTGGTGTGCAGTGTGTGTCTGTGTTTGGGAAGATTGTGTGTGTGTGTGTGTGTATGTTTTGGGGTTGGCTGTGAGTGTGTTTGTGATTGCGTGTTTGTGTTGTCATGTGCATATGAGTTGTGTGTGTGTGTGTGTGTGTGTGTTTGTGATTGTGTGTGTGTGGTGTACAGTGTGTCTGTGTTTGGGAAGATTGTGTGTGTGTGTGTGTGTGTGTGTGCATGTATGTGTGTGTGTATTGGGGGGTTTATGTAAGGTGTGTGTGTGTGTGTGTGTGTATGTGTGTGTTTGTGTGTGTATGTGTGTGGTGTTCAGTGTGTCTGTGTTTGGGGGGAGTGTGTGTTTGTGTATGTGTGTGTGTGTGTGTGTGTGTGTGTGTGTGTATTGGGGGTTTATGTCAGGTGTGTGTCTGTGAGAAAGAAAAAGAAATGGAGTATGCGTAGTGTGTGTGTGTGTGTGTGTGTGTGTGTGTGTGTGTGTGTGTGAACTCTCATGGTAAATGTGTCAGTGGTATACTATTTGCTGGTATTTATCTCTGGGTTGATGTTAGCTGCCTTGTCAAGTTTCAAGTTCATGTTTCAAGGTCTGAAGAGCCATTCTGAGGAAAAAAACCCGAGGCGTGAGTGGTAGAGCGAGAGAGAGAGAGACATTCGCTGGAATTCCCCCTCCCTGAGACTGTGCTCACCTGGCCCCGCCCCCGATTCCATACCTGGCCGTGCCCATTTCAGCCCTATAAATACACGAGGAGCAGGTGCAGCAGAACGCTCAATGCTAAAGCAGATCTCTCACTGACTGGATTATTACTGACGCAGCTCTCACACTGGGATTTTACCTGGAAAACAATCTTTGACCACCACAACTGGTAACTAATCAGCATTTTAAATCATATTTCTACACAAAAACACGTGTATTTCTGAATTCTAAATTGGCGTTGCTTTCCATCACGCAGGATCCTCATGGCGTCAAGCGAACTTAGTCTAATTCTCAACAACGCCAATGCCAACCTGTACCCTGAGCCGCAGGCCAGCCTGTTGAGCATGTGCAGACCACCGCATCTCTCCGAGATCACCTTCAACAGCAACAGCACATTAGGTAAGAGTGCACTCCTGCTCACTCAATAACGGCTCTCATCCTCGCCAGGGATGTTTCCCATCACCTAAACGAGAGTTCAGACATGCTGATAATCCCTCAGTCTGACCTCGTGAATAATTAACCCAGGCAATGTTTAACTCGGGCCCGCAGCAGACGTGCAGGAATGCTTTCGTTAGGCTCTTTCAGCCATTGTTGACAATGCGATCAAAACCTGCAGGGTGTCAACACAACCGATAGTTAAACACACAACAGAAGCTGCGGCCCTGGAGACAGTAAACCTGAGCGGCTATTCTTCTATTGTTAGAGGCGTCTCGTCATGTCAGGTGTGATTGAGGCTAAATGTGCTCCCGTTCTCCGGCAGGCTCCTGGGACCAGGTGAACCCGCAGATGTGGAGCAGGCAGAACGTTCTGGAGTGGATCGGCTTTCACGTGGAGGAGAGCAGATTCGACGCCGGCTTGCTGAATCTGAACTACTGCACCATGGATGGGCTCACACTTTGCGCAACATCCAAGGAAGCGCTGATGAGCATGTTCGGGCCGGAGTTGGGCAATCTGCTACACCACAGTCTGGAGAGCCTGAAGGCGAGATATGGTGAGTAACTGTTGTAGATAAACTTGCTGTTTAGTAATTGATGTTGAACTATTTGGAAGTAACACACACCTGAGGTGCTGATGTGGCCGTTAAACCTCATGATTTACTAAGAATTCAATGCCCTGGAATCAATGTAAAAGCATCTGTTAGGGATTCATTGTTTTGTCCTTAATCATCTCCTGTGTGTAGCACTAGTGTCCTCCACATCTCCTCCTGCTGCTGTGTTTTGTTGTGATTTTTGACTGTGGTAGTTGTGATTGAACTCATTCAGCGGGGTGATATGCAGCTGTAATGCACTCTTGAACTACTTCAGCTTTGAATTTATCCACAAACGCTCTTAAGGATGTAAACTGTTCTGATTTTTGGTGGCTGCATGCATTAACAATCTTTTTGTTGCATCCCTAGTTAATGACCTATCTGAGAACACCGTCCTGAGCGAATCCGAGTTTGAGCTACTAGACAACATCCTGCAGAACTCATTTCCCTCCATGCATGGACCAGGCCTGGGGCCTCTGCTGGAAACTGTGGTGGTCCAGTCTACAATTCCAACAGGTGAGCCGCAAATCCCACTCAAGACAAAAAACCCCCAGAGAGCAGGTCTATCCCTACTGGGAGTAACATTTAAAATTGTTTGTTGCAGACAATTCAGACGCCAAATACAGCTACTTCGATGAGTACACCAGCCAGCTGACCCCAGAGAGTGACCACGGCTACGACTCTCTCACGGAGAGCTTTCAGAGTTCCCATGCTGGTAAGAATCCCCACTAAAACCTAAACAACTCAGGTCAAGGGCGCTCTGTGAACGAACATTATTGAACATGTACTTCGGTTTGTCCTGTGTAGGCAGCTTCCTGAACCCGAGCTCACCTGAGTCCAACAGCAGTGATTCTGACCCTGAATACTCGGAGACTCCTTACTCCATCAGCTCCAGTAAGTTCCTCTCACTCGTCTACAGTTGCTCCACCTCACTCCTGCATGGCGATCTACCTGCAGAGTTTCACCTGAATAGGCCGACATGTGTCGTCAGGACTACCTGACAATCACACAGGCTGAAACTAAACTCTGCAGGAAGATGCTCCTCGAGTATACTGCCCTACAGAGGACAGTATCTACGCAAACACAAAGCTTTGACAACAGATCAGATTCTGTAGTTAATATACGTAGATTTACACCTCAATATTGACCAAATGTGTAGATACTGCTCCTTTTAGGGCAGCATAATAATAAGGGAGTTCCCTGGATGACCCCAAAACACAAACCTCTGACATTCAGTTGTATTGTCTGCTTTCCACAGAGAACTTTTCAAAACAAGAGCCAGAAAAGACCAAGAGAGGCAGAGGACGACCTCCCAAGCTCAGGGATAGTGACGGATTTGATCACTTCATTCAGTCCAAGAAAAGCAAACATGGTGAGTACGCAGAGCTCTGCCTTTAGAGGCTCCTGATGCACACATATGCAGTGTACTAAACTAGACTCCACTGTTCCCCCAAAGCTCCAAGAGGAACCCACCTGTGGGAGTTCATCCGGGATATCCTGATCCACCCGGAGCAGAACCAGGGGCTGATGAAGTGGGAGGACCGCAGGGACGGCGTCTTCAAGTTCTTGAAGTCTGAAGCTGTTGCTCAGCTCTGGGGGCAGAAGAAGAAGAACAGCAGCATGACCTACGAGAAGCTCAGCAGAGCCATGAGGTATAAATCAATCCTAAAATCACTGGGGAGCCTGGGAGCAATAGGGGAGTCTGGGTTTGTGGCAGTGGAGCCTGGGACAGAAGAATAATCAAAACTCTTGCTCTTTCTGACAGGTATTACTACAAGAGAGAGATTCTGGAGAGGGTGGACGGACGGAGGCTTGTTTACAAGTTCGGGAAGAACTCCACCGGTTGGAGGATAGAGGAGACCGGTTATTAAAGTTGACCGTCGGAGATCGCTTTCAGGAAAAATGTAGAGACTTTGGACTCCTGCTAATGAGGAACTTTAAGCTAAGCTTGGATGCTCTGAAGATCCTCCCTTTAGAAACGCTCTCTTCCCAGAGGGAAAAGGTTTCACAGAAACTGTAAGCCAGTGTTTTGGCTAAAGTAGGTTTTATGAACCGGTAAACAGTGGCGATTGTCTGGTTGTAAGGGCACGCAGGCGTAGCCTGGTCCAGATATTGCTACACCACTAAAAGAGTCTAAGTCAGAGATGTCAAACTCGATTCCTGGAGGGCCGCAGCCCTGCACATTTAGTTCCAACCCTGCTCCAACACACTTATAGGTTTCAAACAAGCCTGAAGGACTCGATTCGCTTGATCAGGTGTGTTTAATTAGGGTTGGAACTACACATTGCAGTTTGACATCCCTGGTCTAAGTCAACGGTTGTTCCACACAATGGAGAACGTCAAGCTTTACGAAGGCTCTTGGTATTGGGAAATGAAGTTTGATGTGTATTTTGGTCAGAGCTGATTACCTGAAGTGAAGGTGACGTTCAGATTCGCTCTGCTGTATATAAATGAACTATATATTCTTCATAATAATTGTCAATCGTGTACAAATCAGATATATCACCTGAGATTACTCCTAATTGTTTTCTGTGATTTTTTTGAAGTCACTGGATTATGTGTATGAGGATTCCCTCTGAGACTGTATGCTGTTGTAAGGCATGTATTTGCTGTTTTTTGTATGACTTTTCTAAATAAAATACAATTTCAGATCTAAAAGCGTTTCTTTATCTCACATTTACGCCTCGCCCTCTTTAACTGCATTCCTCTCAACCTTACTTCAACATTTGCTCTGTGTTTGGCCGATTTGCTCTCCTTATCAGAGATCACTGAAGTGTTGAAATGCGATGCCTTCATGTGTTCAAGTTCAAGAGTTTTTACAAATCTCCCACATCTGAGATACATGAAGCATAACCGGTTTTAAAATGCTGGTCAAACGTCAAACACATCGATTTGAATTGTATTTCAGTGGATTTATGCGAATCAACATCATCCACAAAATACACGAGTTTTTATCTTCAAACGCACCGCTTTAAGAGCTGTTTTATTTACTTAACCCGCTGACATTCAGACAGATCTAGCTGTGCAAATAAGTGCACGATAACTTTCAATTCTAAAACTCGAAAGCAAATACGTCAATCCGCATCTCAATTTTTGTTTTGCGGTTTCGTTTTCACAAGCAATACTCCCGCTTGATGCAGCAGACTGTAGTCTGGTTTTTCATAGAGGGTTTTGTTTTGCATTTTAGCACACAATGCAGCTGTTTTTTTAGGCGTTCGGCATTCAAATACACACACGTATATGTCATATTACATTTGAATCTTTCATCCACATGCAAATAGATGCGGCTGAAGCACAACGAAAGAAACAGAACCATCGCTCTTTGTAAAATCTCACATATCTGCAATCATCTAATCCCTGTGAGATCTGCGCTAAACACTCAAAAAGACTTTTCATGAGCGTGAAACTATTTAAACTACACTGGCATTACGGCCATCTGAGACGGCTAATCTGGAGGTGTTGATCTGACACAATCCGTCACATGATCTCCGTTACTGACCGCCGTTACTAAAGAGAGAAGTTTCACCCCTGAGTCCTTTCACTATGCCTTCACCATGCTTTGTGTGTGTGCAACCGGTCCTGCCGGAGAACCGGTTAAACACAACAAATAAACCCGAAAAGAATGTGTTGCAGGCGTGCACCGAGTTAAACTTTCATTTTTATTAACAATACACAAAACTATGCGCACGGTAAACATCAGGCGTATTGTCAGTTTAAACCGTGACGATCATGACTAAGGGTTTCTGTACACTCCTTTGTCACTGGTGAAATTACTGGCAGTTATTCAGGTCACTTGTGTTTTTGATAAGCCAAGCCTACGGATAAAGGTGGAAATCTGGGAGGGATGGTGCGAAAATAAGTGTACTTGAGTAATACCTAATCCCAGGGCCGTTTATATCGAAGTTGACATTTAGCCGCACCATGTTGATGTTTCATCTAAGTTTTACGGGGTGGGTTGTTAGCCCAATGCTAAACCCCCAAGCTGGAGGCATGCACACATACACTACAGTCAATCTAGAATACCCAGCTCCCCTATAGCGCATGTGTTTGGACAGTGGGGGAAACCAGAGCACCCAGAGGAAACCCATGGAGAACATGCAAACTCCATAACCAACTGACCCAGTTGGGACTTGAACCACTGACCTTGCTGTGAGGCTACAGCTCCACCCACTCCGCCACGATGTTAAGCGTACTTTATATAGTAAGTAAACTAATATCGATGTACTAGTACTATACTAGTACTATACCTTATATAGTAAGTTTACTAGAAGTACTGTTGAAGTACCTTACTTCACTATTTAAGCAGCTTAGAGAAATATAATAGTGGATTGGTGCATCCAGACACGACTCAAGCTCATTGAGTTACTTTAGGATGCACCACTGTAAGTTATTTTCAGGTATACCACAGGTCTGTCGAACGCTTGATTCTGATTGGCTGATGAGCATTCTAAGTTGTGCGGATGTTTTCTGTTAAACGCACAGCTAAAGTAGTTCTGGCAGATTTTGAGCGCAGAGTAGGAATCGTTGTAACTTGTGCATAGCATTATGCTCTAATAATTCAATGTCAGTTATTCACGACATATTTCAGTCAGTTTGTCACACTCACCGGCCACTTTATTAGGTACACCTGTCCAACTGCATGTTAACACAAATTTCTAATCAGCCAATCACATGGCAGCAACCGAACGCATTTAGGCATTGACCTTCAAACAACACATCAGTCAATACTAATGTGTGAGCATGCTATCTTCTGAGAACTCCCTGACCAAGAGCTCTTCATGCTGTATAAACAGATTAATGACCGTTTAAAGCACAGGTGTCGAACTCAATTCCTGGAGGGCCGCAGCTCTGCACAGTTTAGTTCCAACCCTAATTAAACACACCTGATCAAACTTATTGAGTCCTTCAGGCTTGTTTGAAACCTACAGGTAAGTGTGTTGAAGCAGGGTTGGAACTAAACTGTGCAGGGCTTCGGCCCTCCAGGAATTGAGTTTGACACCCCTGACTTAAAGCAATGTGCTGTTAGTCTTATTAGTGCAGTATATAATAACAGTGTGCATTGAGACTATAATCCCCTTTTCCTTTTCCTCATGTATTCAAAATAATCTAACTCGGGCTCATTCTGAAAGCGTAGCCCTGTATACATTTCTGGAGATGGGGAATTATGTAGCCAGAAGTACGTTTGGCTGCATTTCGTCTTTAAAATGAACGCAATGGGGAGGTATGACGCCGTTCCTTTTTACGCTACCAGCTGACCGCTAACCTCTGTATGGATGGCTTTCCCGCTGTTACCAGTTTGCCCAGTGGCTCGCCATGTATGTTGGCGCACTTGAGATGCAGTGAGGAGTTGACCATGATGACAGGGTTCGAGTCTGGTGAAGAACGGTTCCATGAAAGCAGGTAAAACAAAAACAAACGATAAAATAAACAAGTAAATAACAGGGTGAGAATGTGGTAAGATCTGAAAACATGGTAAAAATCAGGTGAGGGCTTTTCTTTTTCTGGATTGCTTTAGAAAACGCCGTTGGTTCGGTTTAGGGAAGGGGGTGGGGATCGGTCAGTCAGTTAGTCAACAGCGGCCTCTGGTGGATTCACGTGAGAACAGCAGGCGCAAGCGGCACTCGCGAGAGAAATCCGTGATCTGGAAAAGTGTACACAGCGGCCTCTGGTGGACAAAAACTGCAACAAAAAAGTACCTCCTGAGACATATTTGGCGCTCTCCAGAAATGTATACAGGGGTACATAATCAGGGGTTTGGGTTGGAATAATGAGAAACTTCCAGCACTGCAGAAATGTAAGCCAGAGCCGTGTTGCTTTCTGTCTGTTCCTGCATTCCCTCAACACTCATTATAATTCAGCTGTTTGTTTTGATAAAAGATAATTAATTAAACTAAAACTAACTCAAATATTACTGTTTTAAAGTATTGTGTTACGTTACTTGTCACTTAGAAAATTAACATCATCGAATATATTTCGGGGCGAAGCAGTGGCGCAGTAGGTAGTGCTGTCGCCTCATAGCAAGAAGGTCGCTGGGTCAAGCCTCGGCTCAGTTGGTGTTTCTGTGTGGAGTTTGCATGTTCTCCCCGTGTTGGCGTGGGTTTCCTCCGGGTGCTCCGGTTTCCCCCACAGTCCAAACACATGCGCTATAGGGGAATTGGGTAGGCTAAATTGTCCGTAGTGTATGAGTGTGTGTGTGGATGTTTCCCAGAGATCGATTGCGGCTGAAAGGGCATCCGCTGCGTAAAAACTTGCTGGACAAGTTGGCGGTTCATTCCGCTGTGGCGACCCCGGATTAATAAAGGGACTAAGCCAAAATGAAAGAATGAATGAATGAATATGATTCGTTACCCACAACAATAGCACAAGGACTGTTTAATAGTAATGTTTGTGTTTTCTCAAGGTCAAAGCTCACGCAGAACTGCGGTGTGTGTGTGTGTGTGTGTGTGTGTGTAATGTTAGCTGTGTGTGAAATGAAAGGTGATTTATGAAGAGCATCAGATAGGAGTCGTGTCGAGTCTTGTTTGTTTGCGTCGCTTCATTCCTGCTGTTCTGCGGAAGCGCTGATGGTCAGTGTTCACACACACACACACACACACACATCTATACAGTGCATATGTGTGTGAATGTGTGTATGAGTAAGTGATTGTGTGTGTTTTGTGCATGAGTGCGTGTGTGTATTGCGTCTGTCCATTAAGCGTATGTGTGTGTCTGAGATTGAGTGAGAGTGTGTATGAGTCTGTGTGTGTTTATTATTATTATTATTATTATATTCATTTTACCTTCCCAGTACTGGGTTGCAGCTGGAAGGGCATCCTTCCATATGCTGGATAAGTTGGTGGTTCATTCCGCTGTGGTGACCCTGGATTAATAAAGGGAGTAATCTGACAAGAAAATAAATGAATGAATGAATGAATATTTATTTTATTTAACTTTATAACATATACACTCACCGGCCACTTTATTAGGTACACCTGTCCAGCTGCTCGTTAACGCAGATGTATAATGAGCCAATCACATGGCAGCAACTCAATGCATTTCGGCATCAACTGTGTGATGCTATCATGTCAATATGGAGCAAAGTCTCCTGAGGAAGATTTCCAGTAGCTTGTTGAATCTACAACACCAAGGGTTAAGGCAGATCTGAAGGCTAAAGGGGGTTTGACCCAGTACTAGTGAGGTGTACCTAATAAAGTGGCCAGTGAGTGTATATGGTCATGATGTGCGAAATTTCAGGGTAGATCATGATGTTTCTGCGATGTGTGTGAGTAAATGTGGGTGTGTGTGTGTGTGTGTGTAGGTTGTTGATCTACATGGATTTTAGTTGGAAGTGGAAGGGGAGAAGGCGGGGAAATCCCTGCATACTTATGCAAATCATCTAGATGAGATCATAACGGGAGAGACAGGATGTGGGCGGAGCTACAGGATTACATGAACCACACAGAAACCAGACACACACACATATTGAACACACACACACACACTGAACACACACACACACACACATACTGAATACACACACACACACACACATACTAAACACAAAAGTCAAACACACCTGCATAAAAATAGACATGTACCAAAACAGACTCTCTCTCTCTCTCACACACACACACACACACACAAACACACACACACACAAAAAGAAAAAAGACACGCAC